TTCCTGGCATCCTCACTGGATGGAACATCCTTTTGTTGGGATGGAAAATCCAGAATGTGGGATTCAGAGGGAAAAGGGGGAAAGCAGGGGAAGGTTTGATAGGAGCTGCTGCCATGGGAGATATCAGGGAACAAGTCTAAATAAAGTTGGGAATTCAGCCAGGAACTGACAATTCCAAGGATAAATCCCACAGTTCTTGGAGCAGCAGCTCTGTGCCCTGGCTGGGCACCCCAAACCCCAAAGATCATTTTGGAATTGTTATCCTTTGGGATTCCCATCAGGATAAAGAACCCAAAGTCTCCCACACACTGAGGGGGTTTCCAAGCCCTTCCACACCCCTGATCCCACCAGAGCAGATGGGATTCTTGGGATGTGCCCCAAACCAAGATAAAAGGGACAAAAAGCAAAAAAGCACAGGAGATTTGTACATGGAAAGGCTGAGCTGCCCCATTCCCAAGGAAAACCAGGATTTCCCAAGGAAGCAGCTATTTTCCCCATATTTTTAAATCCAGGCTCTTCCATGGACATCCCACCCCGCTGACATTCCAACCTCTCCACCCGACCTATGGATCAGCATTCCTGGCAAAACAGTGCTTCCAAAAAACCCCAAAGCAAAACCCTTAAATTGCACTTTAATTGGATTTTCCAGAGGGTTATTAGGAAATGTTTCCAATCAAGGAGTAAATTGGGATTGTAATAAAATATTCCATAAATATTTACATTGGCCCTGGCTCCACTTGAAAAGCAGGGATATTTTTCCTCTTGAACACGCTGCCAAAGGAGCCAGTTGGAAAACCAAGGTCTCGGAGTCACTTTGTTCCCATCCAGGAATGATCAGAGGGGGTTTTCCCCCCAAATTCCACCTGAAAAGATTCCAGGTTCATTCCAGGTAAGTCTTGGGATCCAGACGGGATGAGCAGAGGGAGCAGAGGGAGCAGAGGAGGGAAGGATCTCCAAAGCTGCGGCACATCCCGAGGAATTTACGAGCTGTGTGGGGTGGGCAGGGCTCCAGCTCCGTCTAATCTGGATCCAGATCCCAAGGAACCGTCTGGTTCCACGGGATGAGGCTTTAATCAGGTGTGGATCAAGGAATTTCCCAGCAGTAATTCAGCCCAGGCTCTGTTTACTGCTCCCCCCGTGACCCCGGGCCCTCGTGCCATATTGAACCCGTTACCTGCTGATATTCCAGGACTCAGGAGGGATTAGGGGAAATTTCCCTGCGTTTCCAGATAAGCTGCTCAGGCTGTTGGAGCACAGAGGAAGGGGAAGTTCTTTCCAGCATGGAAAAAATGCGGCTGGATGAACGAGAAAGGTTAGGAAAACACTCCTAGGGCAGGGATGAGCAATCCATGAAATATTCCATGGATTAAATAGATCCCAGGGAAGCAGAACTGGAGACGGATGGGGATGCTCAGGGGTCAGGCAGGAGGATCCTCACCCAGGATATCCTTTGGAGGGGAACCTTGGAAAAATCAGGACAGGCTTCCCAGAGAAGCTGTGGATGAATCCTTGGAAGTGTCCAAGGTCAGGCTGGATGGGAATTGGAACAACCTGGGATGGGGGAAGGTGTTCCTGCCAATGGCAGGGGTGGAATTGGATGGGATTGAAGGTTTAGGAGCAAAAATCAGGAGCCCAGGATTTGGGAACAAAAATCTGGATCCCAGATTTAGGAAGAAAAATGAGAAAGTTCAAGGATTAGGAAGAAAAACTAGGAGCCCAGGGTGTAGGATAAAATATTAGGATTCTGGATCTAGGAACAAAATATAGGAGCCAAAGGTTTAGGAATAAAAGTCAGGAACAAAAATTAGGAGACCAAGCTCTGGGAGGAAAAATTTGGAGCCCAGATTTGGGAGGAAAAATTCCAAGCCCAAGATTTAGGAACAACACTTAGGAGAAAAAATCAGGAGCCAAAAGTTTAGGAGTTAAAATTGGGATTCCAGAGCAAAAGGCTGGAAAACCCAATGGAAGTGGCTGGGAAAACAAGGAGCAGGAAGGAATCCCGGGTGGAAAATTCGGAATTCCAGCGAGCCCTGGGAGCTGCCAGTGGCACCAGGAGTTTCTCGGCTCCAGCCGCATCCCGGCCTCCGTTCCCATGGAGCAGCCACATGGCAGCTCCCAACAGCTGAGGATTTTCCCATTTTCTCCGTCCTTTCCATAATTCCAAAGGACGGAGCCAATTGCCTCTGCCAGGGCTGACGGATGGGAGCCGACAGCGTCGCTTCCCATTAGGATTATTTCTGGGAATTCACACCGGGATGGCTCCGGCAGGCGCTCCCAGCTCCCGACTCCTTGGAACAACCCGAGAGCTCGGGGAATGCGGGAAAAGCCGGGATGGTGACATTGATTGGCACCCAGGAGGAATCCTACCGGGAATGAAGGCTTGGGATGGGATTTTAATGAAATCCCACTGGGAATGAAGGCTTGGGATGGGATTTTAATGAAATCCCACTGGGAATGAAGGCTTGGGATGGGATTTTAAAGAAATCCTACTGGGAATGAAGGATTGGGATGGGATTTTAGGAAAAGCGTGAAATTCCAGACAAGGGCAGCTTGGGAATGTGAAAATCATTCCCAGTGGCTCTGGGACATTTAGAGGTATTTTAAGGACATTGGGGAGAAGTCCATGGATGGGAATGTCATGGAATGCTGTGGGTGGGAAGAGATTAAATCCCATCCCATTCCATGGGCAGGAAAGCTCCCACTATCCCAGGGTGCTCCAATCCCCATCCAACCTGTCTGGAACATTCCAGGCATCCAGAGGCAGCCACATCTTCTCTGGGAATTCCAGCCCAGCCCCTCCCAGGGGACAATCCCTTCCCAGTATCCCCTTTCCCATCCCTGTGTCCTGTCCCTCCATCCCTTGTCCCAAGCCCCTTTCCAGGGAGCTCCTTTTTCCTGCTTGTTTTTCCCAGGATGAGGGAAAGAGCATTCCCAGGAATGCTGGGAGTGAGCAGAGCCCGGAGGAGTCGGTGGGGTGGGAATTTGGGACAAGGTGGGAAGAGCCAGACCGGGATTCACTCGGAGAGGAGCGATCCCTTCCCATGGAATGGGATCAAACCCTCGCTCCATCCATGGAATGCCGTGAGCTGGGAACGAGCTGGGATTCGCTGCTGATCCAAGGAGGCTTTTCCACGGTTTGCTGGAAAATAGGGATGGGAATCCCGGTGCCACACTGACACCTCATGGAAAAAGCGCTCGTTGCAATTCCAGCGCTCCAGGGCTGGATTTTTGGGATAAACGCTTGGATTTTGCTGCCTACTTTGTCCTGATAAATGTGATTGGGATAAAGGGATATTTCCCTGGAATCAAAGGGATTGGGACCAGGATCTGACGGGGAAAACCTGGAGATCTTGGAGCTGCAAATCCAACATTTCCCCTTCAACCTCCGCCCTTTGCTGAGGCTTTGGAGGAAAAGAAAATAAAAATAGAAATAAAATCAAAATTAAAAGTAAAATCATTAAAATAACAAGAAAAATTAAGAATGAAAATTAATTAAAAATAAGAAAATAAATAAATAAAATGACAAAAATAAAATTCTCAAATGCAAGGGAGCGGATTCAGAATTCCCAGTGCTTTTCAACCCTTTCCTGCATCCAAACCGTCTCCAATGAGCACCAGCTCCTCGTGTATCCCAGTTTTCCACAGGAATATCCCCGATGGGATTTATCTTGTCACGGGATAATGGAATCCAAATCCAAGAGATGGCTCCTCATTAACGATTAATGAACTCATTAAATCCCACAAATAAGAGCCCTTCCCAGACTTTTCCATCATTCCCAGTGGTTATCCCTATCCCAATCCCAATCCCCCCACGGGGGCAGGAAGAAGTTTGGGAGCGGGAAGCTGCCCAGGCTGGGATTTTCCAAGGAGTCATTCCCTGTCCCAGGGCAGAGCCTGACTCCCACTGGGAAAGGCTTGGGAAGCAGTGCTGGATAGATCCCTATCCCAGAGCAGGGATATTCCCAGGAGCCATTCCCTATCCCAGGGCAGGGAAGGCTCGGGAAGAGGCACCATTCCCGGTGGTTATCCCTATCCCAACCCTCCCGCAGCAGGAGGCAGGAGCAGGGATGGGAGCAGGGACATTCCCAGGGCAGGGAAGGCTCGGGAAGCAGCACCATTCCAGTGGTTATCCCTGTCCCAACCCCAATCCCAACCCTCCCGCAGCAAGAGGCAGGAGCGGCGATGGGAGCAGGGATGTTCCCAGGGCAGGGCAGGCTCGGGAAGCGCCGCCATTCCCATGGTTTTCCTGCCCCATCTAGCGGCGCTCCGGGAGAGCTGCTTCCCACGGATCCAGCCGGGAGCTCCCTCTGGAGCTCAGGGAATTCTGGAGGGGCTGGAAAAACTCTCCCTTTGTCCCCCCATGAGCAGAAGGACCTGGAGCTCCTGGAGAAATTCCAGAGGAGGCCACGGAGCTGCTCTGCTCTGGAGCCGGGCTGGCAGAGCTGGGAATGCTCCCCTGGAGAAGGGAAGGATCCAGGGAGAGCTCAGAGCCCCTGGAGGGCTCCAGGAGAGCTGGAGAGGGACTGGGACAAGGGATGGAGGGACAGGACACAGGGAATGGCTCCCACTGCCAGAGGGCAGGGACGGATGGGAGATTGGGAATTGGGAATTCCTGGCTGGGATGGAATTCCCAGAGCAGCTGGGGCTGCCCCTGCATCCCTGGAATATCCAAGGCCAGCTTGGGATAGTGAGAAGTGTCCCTGGCCTTGGGATGAGCTTTAAAATCCCTCTCAATCCCAATCCAAGCCATTCTGGGATTTGAGGATTCCAGACCTTGGGAAGAGAAACTTTTCCATGGGCTGGAACCCCTTGGATCAAGGCAATCCCTCAGAATGGCCCCAAATTCCCTTGGCAGACCCAAGGGTAAAACTGTCCCAACCCCACCCCAGGATCCAAGCAGATCCCAGGATTTACCATCCCAAAAACCACCTCAGATCCCGGCTTTCTGCAAAGCCAGGGAAGCTGCTCCCCTTGGAATTCCCTAAAAACCAGGAAGAGGGTTTGGAATAAAAGGATTTATTGAAATTATTTATTGCTGAAAGCCAATTCCCACCCTGTGAGGAAATCCCCCTTTCCCCCCATTCCCATACGGAAAACATTCCAGAATTCCCTCACACCCCAAAGCAGCCGGGATGTGAATTCCCACTGCTCCCAGGATTTTGGGTGACTCTGGAATGTTCTGACAGCTCAATGGCACACTTAAATATTCCAAACTTATCCTTGCCAGAAGAAATCCGTATTCCCAAGGTTTTCCTGCTTCCAGTAAAATCGGGAATGGCCAGAAACACCCTTAAAGTGCTGGACTGCAGCTCGGAATAGCAGCGGTTGGGTCTCCCAAAAGAGAAAGAATGGCTGGAAAAGCTGGATTTGGGATAAAAAAACTGGAAAAACACTGGAAAAATCTCCCGGGGAGAAGCCTGTAACGATCCAGCTCCATTTGGAATTCCAGAGGGACCTTTTGTATTTCCCTAAATCTACGGAAAAGGACAGATCCATCCAGAAGCTCTTTGGGATCACCAATGGAACCATCTCCCAGCTTCCCTAAAAACCTCCTGGAATGGGCATAAAGCACTTCCTGAGGAGCAGTGGCAGCAGAGCATTCCTCAGGCTGGGAAAATCCAGGATTCCAGCAGGAAAAATTCAGGGCTTCCTGCGCCTGCAACGGGAAAGATCCACAGAGAACTTTCAGGATTCATGCAGAGGAATTTTGGGAGCAGCCAACCCCCCATTCCCAGGTTTTGGCACTCCCAGTTCCCACACACCTCCTAAAAAATCCAACATATAATCCAAGGAAACTCCAAAAAATCTGGTGTTTTCCTTGGATTTTTAGGCAGCAGGAGCTGCAAACAAAGTTGGATTCCAATTCCTCAATTCCCTCTTCCCACGGGGAATTGGAATTTCCCAATGGATAATGTGAGCAAGAGGTTAAAGGGGCAGGAGAGGGAATCCAGGGCATTCCCGCTGCCATTCCCAGCCCTATTCCAGCCAGGAATGAAAACCCACAGTGGGAAGGGCAGCAAAGCTGGGGGGAAAACATTCCTGAATTTTGGAAGTTGTCAGGAAAGAATTCCAGGAGCACTTCCTTGGACTGGTCATGGAGCTGGAATTCCCAGGGATGCCTTATGAACAATTTGGGAAAGAGGGAATTTTCCAGGCTTCCTTATTGGTTCCATAATTATGCAGTAGGAATTTTAGCAGGAATTCCACTGCAATTCCCTCTTCCCACAGGGAATTGGAGTCCTGAGAAACTGGAACTTCCCAGTCCCAAGAAACTGGAATTTCCCAATGGATAACGTGAGCGAGAGGTTAAAGGGGCAGGAGAGGGAATCCAGGGCATTCCCGCTGCCATTCCTGATATTCCACTGGGGAATGCAAACCCGGTGTGGGGATGGCAGCAAAGCCAGGGGGGAAAGCATTCCCAAAGTTTGGAGCTGTGAGGACAGAATTCCAGGAGCACTCACTTGGGCTGGGCGTGGTGCTGGAATCCCGGTCCCAGCGCCGATCCCGCCCTCATCTCCACGGCCACGGAACACTGGGAACACACCAAAGTCAGGATCTGCTGCTTCCCACCACTCCCAGCTCCCAGCATTCCCAAATCCTCATCCAGAGGGGTTTGGGTCCCCAGCCCTGGGATGTCCAAGGCTGGGCTGGACGGAGCAGCCCGGGATAGCGGGAAGTGCCCATGGAATGGCTGCATTGGGATGAGCCGAGTTCCCTCCCAGCCCAACCCAGCCCAGGCCAGAATTCCAGGATCCAGGGTGACATTCCCGGCTCACCCTGGTTTCCACATCCGTCCATTCCGAGTCCACGGCGTCCCCAGCGGGGTCGGGATTGGGAGGTGACGAGCGGCGCTTCCGCCTGGAACGGGAAGTTGTGGAATTACAGCACAAACCTCACGGAATTAGCCACATTCCAACACTGGAAAACCCCTTTATTCTTCCTTAATAAATCTTGGATCCAGCAGCTCCAGCATCCATACATTTCTCCAAGTTTATGGGATTTTTTTATGGATGTTCCCATTGGATCACCCGGCCTGGAAGAAGTTCAATGCACGCACCTGGAATTCCACAATTCCAGAAGCTCAAATGAAAGGTTCCACCATTGGAACCTTGGGAATTCCAGGACTCCAGAAGCTCAAATGAAAGGTTCCACGATTGGAATTTTGGGGATTCCAGAGGCTCGACTCACCCGGTGGGAGATTCCTGCTTGAGGGTCTCGATGTCCGTGAACTGCACGGCCTGGCCCCCACCCCTGGTCTTGAACACGTCCCCCTGGAATGGGAAAAGGACAAGGAAAAGCAGGATTGAGACAGGAACAACACCGGGATTCATCCCAGAATTCCAGCCTAATGAGATATGGACACAAATAAGCTCCTCCCATTTCACTGCCAATGGATTGTTGCTTTTGTCCACAGGAAAATGCATAAATCACGGGATCCATGGATCAAGGGATTCCAAAAATCATGGGATCCACACAAATCATGGAATTCATGGACCACAGGATCCACAAATCATGGGGTCCATGAATCATGGGATCCCACAAATCACGGAACCCAACCGTGAAAACGCCAAACTAAATTTCAGCGATTCCAAAGCAGCATTCCCAAGATTCCCAAGATTCCCAAGGTCTTCAGTATGAGCCCACTCTGGATCTCAACCTTGCCCCCAACCTGGAGCTCCGAGTGCCACATCTAGGAATTCCTTGGGTAATTTTAACAGAATTTCAGTGATTCCAATGCAACATTCCCAAGGTCACTTTGATGAGCTCTGTGTGGATCTCAACCTTTCCCGGAGCACCGAGTGCCACATCCAGGAAATCACTGGGTAATTTTAACAAAATTTCAGCAATTCCAACGCAACATTCCCAAGGTCACTTTGATGAGCTCGGTCTGGATCTCAGCCTTGCCTGGAGCACTGAGTGCCATATCCAGGAATCCTTGGGTAATTTTAACGAAATTTCAGCAATTACAATAACATTCCCCAGGGCACCTTGATGAGCCCTGTGTGGATCTCAGCCTTGCCCGGAGCACCGAGTGCCACACCCAGAAATTCCTTGGGTAATTTTAACGAAATTTCGGCGATTCCAACGCAACATTCCCAAGGTTTCCGGGGTCACCTTGATGAGCTTGGTCTGGATCTCCCCGTCGGAGGCGAGCTCCTGGTGGGTCAGCAGGTAGCGGTCGCACCGGGCCAGGGCGCGCTCGCTGGGCGCGTCCACCGTGATGGCCCTGGGCACGCGCGGCTGCAGCAGCGTCTCCGTGGGCACGTGCGACGGCGGCCGGTGATCCACCCAGCGCTCGCCGGCACTGCGGGAGCGCCGCGGCCGCAGCGGCACCGCCGGGGCGCTCTGGGATGGGAACAGGGAGTGAGAACAGGGAATGGGCACGGGGAATGGGCACGGGGAATGGGCACGGGGAATGGGCACGGGGAATGCGGAATGAGAATGCGGAATGAGAATGCGGAATGAGAATGCGGAATGAGAATGCGGAATGGGAACGCGGAATGGGAACGCGGAATGGGAACAGGGATCCACCCAGCGCTCGCCGGCACTGCGGGAGCGCCGCAGCGGCACCGCCGGGGCGCTCTGGGATGGGAACAGGGAGTGAGAACAGGGAATGGGCACTGGGAATGGGAACGGGGAATGAAAATGGGAAATGAGAACAGGGAATGGGAACGGGGATCCACCCAGCACTCCCCAGTACTGCAGGAACGCCGCGGCCTCAGCAGCACCGCTGGAGCGCTCTGGGATGAGAACAGGGAATGGGCACTGGGAATGAATGGGATGGGTGTGTGGGAAAGACAAATGTTTGGTCCTTGGGTTGGATCCTGAGGGCACCACCAAGAGCTTGGCATCGAATTAGCGGTGGGACGTTCCAGCCAATTCCTGTTTAATGGAAATTTTATCCCAGTGTTGTCCAATCTGCCACATTCCATTAAGTTTCCTCACGTTTGAGAATGCTCCTCCCAAATTTCAAAATCCACAGGCAAGGGATTGTTCTGCTCTGTTTTCCTACAGTGCTCTTGGACTGAATCCTCAAGGAGCCAAATAATTCATGGAACCAGTGCTCCCAGTTTAATGGGAATTAGGGAAGGGAATTAAAGCTGAGGCACACAAAAGGTTTATCCAAGGAATGCTTCCAGGCAGGAAAAGCTCCCAGAAGCACCTTGGAAGCTGGAAATTGCAGGAGGGATTGGAGGAGACACGAGGGAGAGGGAAAAGGAGACACGGGGAAAGGAAAAGGGAAACACCAGGGAAAACACGAGGACACCTACAGCTAGAGCAGAGTGTGGCCACCTCAGAGCTCCCTAAAAGTGGGAATTCTCAACTTCCAAGGAAGCTCCAAACACCAAGAGGGCGGCGAGAGCAGCCAGGCTCCGTCTGGGACCAGCAGGACACATTAGGGACAGCTCTAGTCTACGTCAGGCGGGCTCAAGGACAGAGAACCTCTAAGCCGGGCTCAGGGTCAGAGAACCTTTAAGCCGGGCTCAGCCCCACTAGGCCAGGACTAACCCTGCAGCACGGATCCTCTTCCTGCTCTAGCTCCTCTCTATCCCTGGGCACCTCCAGCACTCGGCTCCAGCACATCCCTCTCCTCCTGGCAGGGCTGGGCCAGGCTGAGCCCGGCTCCGCTCCCGCTTTATTCCTGGCCTTGGGAATGCTGGCTGGCTCGCAGGAAGGGCCCCTCTGCTCCCACTCCAGCACGCAGGAGGCCACAGAGATGCTGCTGCAAGAGTTGGAGCGCCTGTGCAGCTGCGGGGCCCCGCGGCCGTCCCCGAGCTCAGCGGGGTCACCACAGCTCTGGGGAGAAGGGAGAGAGCAGTGAGACACAGGAGACGCCAAGCAAACAGGGACAGACAGATCCAGGGATTTCCCGTTCCTGTGGACATCAGGGGGTGGGAAATGGATGAAGAACAACAGGACACAGGGAATTCAAGGTGCTCCAACTCAGGGCTCAAACTTCAGCAGGGACATCACAGCTCTGGGAAGAAGGGAGAGAGCAGGGAGGCACAGGAAGCATCCAACAGGGACAGAAAAATCCAGGGATTTCCAATTCCTATGGATATAAGAGTGTGGGAGAACAGATGAAGAACAAACAGGACACAGGGAATTCAAGGTGCTCCAACTCTGTCCCCAAGCTCAGCGGGGTCACCACAGCTCTGGAGAGAAGGGAAACATCAGTGAGACACAGGAGGCGTCGTGCAGTCAAACAGGGATGCCATGCAGGGACAGACAGATCCAGGGATTTCCTGTTCCTGTGGACATCAGGAGGTGGGAGAATGGATAAACAATGAACAGAGACAAGACAAGGAATTCAAGGTGCTCCAACTCAGGGCTCAAACTTCAGCAGGGACACCACAGCTCTGGGAAGAAGGGAAAAGTCAGTGAGACACAGGGAGAGACAGATCCAGGGATTTCCCGTTCCTATGGATATCAGGAGGTGGGAAATGGGATGAAGAACAAACAGAGGAAAAGGAATTCAAGCTGCTCCAGCTCGGGGCTCAAACCTCAGCTCTGGGGAGAAGAGAGAGAGCAGTGAGACACAGGAGACTCCAAGCATACAGGGACAGAAAAATCCAGGGATTTCCCATTCCTAAGGATATCAGGACGTGGGACAATGGATGAAGAACAAACAGCAGACAAGGAACTCAAAGCAAGCTGCTCCAGCTCTGTGCTTGGAGGCTACTAAAATCCCTGCACTTCATCCCTAAAAACGCTGTTTCCTAAATCCAGCAGGTTTGGGAGTGACTCACGGGAGCAGGGGAAGGAGACACGGATCTCGGGAGCTTCTCCCGCTCCCTTTCCCGGGATGGCCTCTCTGGCCTCTCGGCCCTGGGCTCGGTGACGATGGCCTTGAGCTGCTTCAGCTTCTCGTCCTTCACCCACAGCTTGTTCTGCATCTCCAGCTGCTTGGCTGCCACCCGCCGCTCCTGCGGGCACAGGGAAAGCAGTGGAAAACAGGGAATTGCTGAGGCTGGAGAAGCTGGAAAACCCGCCAGGATCAGCGAGGCCAAGCTGGGACTGAGCCCAGCCTGGAGCCCTGAGTGCCACGAGTTCCTTGCAGGTATCCAGGTTCCTGCAGGTATCCAGGAGTTCCTTGGATACCTGCAGGGATGGGGATTCCAAACCTCCCCAGGCAGTTCCAATGTTTACAGCCCTTTCCATGAGGGAATTTTCCCAGTATCCAACCTGAGCCTGCCCTGGCCCAGCCTGAGGCCGTTCCCTCTCCTCCTGCCCTTGTTCCCTGGGAGCAGAGCCCAACCCCCTCCCCTTTCCTTTCCTTCCTTTCCATTCCCTTCAATTCCTTTCCTTTCCATTCCCTTCCATTTCCTTTACACTCCTTTCCTTCCTTTCCATTCCCTTCAATTCCTTTCCATTCCCTTCCCTTTCCCCTTTTCCCTTCCCCATCCACAGCAGAGCTACCCAAGAACCTCCACAAGGCCAAAGAGGAACTTCCAACCGGGAATTCCTACAAACACCAACCAGACCAACAAACCCCCTCCTTAAGAGCGCCCCACACCCCAAATCCCCACATCCCTGATAACCTGATCCTGCTTTTCCCGCCATTCCTGCACTCACACATTCCTTCTCCCACTTGAGGGAGGTCTCGGCCACCATTCCCTGCAGCCTGGCCTCCAGCCTCCTCTTGTCCGACGCCTGCCGCTGCAGCTTCTGGCTCTTGCTCTCCAGCTCCTGCTGCAGGTTCCTCTTGTCCTCCTCGTAAATCGTGGCTGTCTTCTCCAAAATCTCGATCTGCAGGAAGAGAGGAAAGACTTGGGTGGGAACACAACCTTTGAATCCAGGAATTCCTGCTTGTATTTCCCAGGAAATCTCAATTTTCAATTCTAAATTGCTCAGTTTTAAAAGCCTCACCTCGTAACAAAGCCAACAAATTTTCAGTAAAAATTTCCCCCACAATTTTTATTCCTGATGGCAAGGAATTTGCCAAATGATCCATTTAAAAAAAATGAGATTTGTGCTGCAAAATGACCCAACTGACCTTGTACTCCAAGGTTTTAATCTTCTTCTCCAGCCGTTCCAGCTCCGTCCTCTGCCCCGTTATGGTTTTCTCCTTGTCAGCCAGTTTTCCTTGGATATAATTTTCCTTGGATGCAACACTGGAGTCAAATTCTTGCAGCATTGTTTTAAAGGCAAGAACTGGAAGAGAATTCAGATATTTTATATTTTATCTTTAATCTTCTCCCTTATTCCCAGAATATCCAAACCTCTGTTTTCCCCAACAAATTTAAAGCCTAAAATTCCTCAAAAAAAAGGTGGAAACAATCAATCTAAACAAGAAAACTGAAGCAAGGAGGATCCTTTGAGGAATAATGAGGGCACCAAATCTGAGTTTTGCCCTGATGTTCCAATTTGGGGCAAATTCCTACCGTTTTTGGCAAATTCCTCTGCCAGCATCTGCCTCATTTTGTGGCGCTGCTCCAGGGCCTCGATCAGTTTTGGGAGCGTTTGGTCGTCGTTGATGTCCAAGAGCTCGCAGGAAGGCAGGGGAGGGAAGCTCTGGAAGAACAGCTCAGCAGCAGATGGCTCCTCTGGTCCTGCAGGATGGAAAATCCGTCAGAAGGATGGGAAAATTCCCATGGACAAAGGGCAGGATCGTGGAAAACTGGGAATGATTGATGGGAGCTAAGGGTTTCCAAAGAGGTGATGGATGGGAAAGGATTAAATGTGACATCCTTGATTCCTTGTTTTACTAAAAGCAGGTCCTGAACATCCAGGAACATCCCACAATTTCCTTGGCACAATTTCCTGTCAGGCCTTGCAATACTGGGACCATGGATTCATCCCAATCCCGTGGAATTCCTTGGAAATCTCCTCAGGGACACTGCAGAGGGAGGAGCAGCAGCTCCCCGGGCACTGAGGTTCAGCTTGCCACAGGCTCAGTGCAATTGGTTTAAAATTTAATTCCCAGCCTTTAATTCCTAACAGAAAACTCTGCTGGAATCATGGAATGCTTTGGGTTGGAAAGGACCTTGAAGCGATCCTGTTCCACGGGCAGGGACACCTCCCACTGTCCCACATTCCAACCTGGCCTTAGACGCATCCAGGGATCCAGGGGCAGCCACAGCTGCTCTGGGAATTCCAGCCCAGCCCCTCCCCACCCTCCCAGCCAGGAATTCCTTCCCAATACCCCACCCAAATTTCCCATTTTCCAATTTGAAGCCATTCCCTGTGTGCTGTTCCTCCATCCCTTATCCCAACCCCTTCCCCAGTCCTCCTGGAGCCCCTTAAGGCCCTCTAAATTCCCCCTGAATCCTTCCCTTTCCCAGGTGACCATTCCCAGAGCGGAATTCCCCACTGCAGCCCTCACCTGCTCCCACGGGGCCGCCCCTGAGCTCCAGCTTGCGGGACAGCTCCTCCCGGAATGCCTGGTTCCGGAGGCGCCGCCCCGGCGTCAGCCCGCACAGGGGCCTGTCCAGGGGCCTGGCCACCTCCACCTCCTGCGTCATCTCTGCAAAACGCATCACTTGCTGCAAGAAAACAGGGAAAATCCACCAGGAGCACCCGCAGCCGGGACTGGGAGCGGGGTGGGGTCACTGGAGGGGAAAGGAGGAATTATCCGGCTGGAGATGCCAGCCACGGTTTGGGGTCTTCCAGAAAGCTCCCCACAAGGTGCCACCAAAGCTGGGGCAGAGACAGCTGGAATTCTTGGAATAGGAGGGATTAAACACCCAAATATGGCTCCGTGGAATTCTGTGAGGAAGGAAAACCTTTCCCACTTTCCATGCAAGGAGCAAGTGCAATACGAGCAGGAAAAACAAGAGGAAAGCGCGAGGAGCTGCCAGCTACGGTTTGGGGTCTTCCAGAAAGCTCCCCACAAGGTGCCACCAAAGCTGGGGCAGAGACAGCTGGAATTCTTGGAATAGGAGGGATTAAACACCCAAATATGGCTCCGTGGAATTCTGTGAGGAAGGAAAACCTTTCCCACTTTCCATGCAAGGAGCAAGTGCAATACGAGCAGGAAAAACAAGACTTGGAGAGCAGATTTATCCCACAAAGTTATAACTGAAGGGCTCAAACAACAATTATAATTTGTTATATCTCTTGGAGTGCAAGAATCCAGGGAAAACAGGAAAAGAAGAGCAGGAGAGAATGGAAAAAGGGAATTTACCAGGCTTTCCTCATAGTCCTCAGCCTTGGGATTCACACACACAATCATCCGAACTTTCCCTTCTCCATCAAAATAGTTCTTGAAGAGATGAGTCAGTTTGGAATCTCTGTATGGAACCATCTGGGAATAAAGGCCAGGGAAAACCCCGTGAGTTTTCCTTATCCAGGTGATGAAATCCAAGGATAATCGGGGAAGGGCTGCCCACCTTGTTTGTTCCGTACAATTGGTTTTCCCGCAGAACCTCGATGCACGTCCTCAATGTCATCAGTGACTGGTTGATATTCCCTAAAAAAAGCAAACACAAGGCAAAATAACTCCATGAGCAGCCCTTGGATCACATTCCCAGATCAGTCAGAAGAATACATTGCCTAATTAATGATATTTGTTAATAATTGCTCTAATTAACTGAAGTGGCAGAAGTGCTGCTGCAAACTTGTGGGAGGATTTGAGGTCATCAAATCCTGACTGATCCTAACAGAGCACTTCAAGAATTCCTGGGATTCCTCCCTAGGAGCCAGGATTAGCAGGAGCTTAATTAGCAGGGTTAATTAGCAGGGTGCTGCCGGGGGTTCCTACCTGCCTCCCGCAGCCTGTTCCCCTCGGCTTTGGTCCTGTTGGTTCTCTCACTTCCTGCCAGATCCACCAGGGACAGCTGGCTCAGGGTGATCTGCTCCTTTTCCTGGGATACAGAAGAAATCCTGGATCCCTCCAGATTCCCCCTAAAGGGCTGGGGGATACCCCATGCCAAAACCCACTTCCAAAGAATGTGTTGGATGCGAGTTCAGAGGGTTTGGCACAGCCCAGACAGAAGCACAGCTTTTTTTGGGAAGTTTGGCAGATCCCTTCTGCCTTGGGTCATGGATTGAAAGCTGTTGGATTGTTCCACTTCCCAAAATTTTAGATTCCCAAACACAGAAAAAGGTGAAAAGCAAAGGAATCAGCAGCTTCACCCTCTGTTTTAACACCAAACTTTATGATTAACTCTGTCACCGCCAAACGTGAGGCACGGGAGCTGTTTCCAAGGTAAATTCCATAAAATCCTCCCGAAATTCTCCTGAAGTTCTGCAGAACTCACCTGGAGCACGTTGTCCCCATCAGCATCCAGAGGAGCCTGTGCCAGTTTGATGATGAACACGGAGTGGGAGCGGCTGGATTCCCGGTTCAGCTGCGTGTTGGCGATGCGCCGCTTCTTCTGCCCTGCTCAGACACCCCAAATTCCCAAAAATCCTGCTGCTCTCCCACAAATCCCACCCCCTCCAGCACCAGGGTGTGAGGGGTTTCGCAGCTGTGGGATATTGGGAAGGGCTGGGAATGGGGAGGCCCTAAATGCCCACAGAAGTTGTGGGTGCTCCATCCCAAGGACGGGGCTGATCCAGAGGGATTTTCCAGCCCATGGGTAATGTTTAAGGTGCTGGGATGTGGGATCAGCCCTGAATTCCAAGATTTTTTACCTCTCCAAAAGACTTCAAAAGCTTCCTCTGTGGATTTGACCTCCACTTCAGTGCAGCCTGTCACGTACATGTTGTGGTTCTGGTCTTCCCGAAGGATTTTGGACTGGGGAGGTCTTTGGGATAGTGGGAGAGAGGGAAAAATGCAAAAAAAAATCCCATTAGAGGGGAATTCTCTGTGCAGATTTGCACATTCTCTGTGCAGAACTGCCATGCAGATTTTCTTGGAAGGCAAAATTCAGCAGGAAACTGACAAAATTCAGCGAGAAAAAAATCAGAATTTGGAGGGAAAATGTCACAAAGCTCAGAGGAAAAGGTCAAAATTCAGGGGGAAAAGGCCAAAAATGCTGAGGGGAAATGGACAAAATTCAGAAGGAAAACTCAGAATTTGGAGAGAAAAATGTCACAAGTCTGAGGAGAAAAGGTCAAAACCCAGGGGGAAAAGGTCAAAATTTTGAGGGGAAAAGGTCAAAAATCTGGAGGGAAAAGGTCAAAAATCCACCAAAAAGATGGAAGAGGGAATACAGGACACGGACACACAGCCAGGATTAGTGACACTCCAGCTACTGCTCTAATTAGCAGCTATTTAATTGCAATTAATTGCTCTGGTGGAAGCTATTGCTTTTCTACAAGCACACAGAAGCAAGGAGAGATCCTAGATTTCCTAGGAAAGCAAAGAGAGGCAGGGGATTTTCTGCTTCTACTCAAGGAAAACAGCACTGGAATATTGGGAATAAGACATTGGACACATACACAAAGTCTCCATTTCTCACAGGAGTGTTGCAATTGTTCCACCTACCAAAAAAATGGGGAAAAATATTAAATCCTTGATTTCTGCCTCAAATCTTTCCAACGCTGCAGCTTCCAGAGGGAGAAATAATCCCAGATATATTTTTTAAGGAGGAGTTTTGGGAATAAACACCTTTAATTTTTTTTTTTAATTTTATTTTAATGCTTAAAATTTTAATTAAAATTTTAATGTTTAAAAAAACCATTTTATTTTAAAATGCTTTAAAACCATTCAGTGTTTAAACACTGAATGGTTTTAAAGCATTTTAAAATAAAATGGTTTTTTTAAACATTAAAATTTTAATTAAAATTTTAATGTTTAAAAAAACCATTTTATTTTAAAATGCTTTAAAACCATTCAGTGTTTAAACACTGAATGGTTTAAAAGCATTCCCAGAGATTCAAAACCTTCTGGAATGAAGACCCTGGAGACAGCTCCCCGTTTGCTTTGCCCTCATCAGTCTTTGTTAATCAACCAGTCCTTAATTAATACAGGACTGAGGGGCTCCTTTAATGGAGTTGGAATTTCAATCCATGGATTCCAAATGGAATTTGCAGACATTTCCTACTGATTTTAGACATCACAAACCCACACCTTTGGAAAAAACATCCCTAAAAAATATCCCTAATTTCTGATTTTATGGGAACTACCGATGTCAAAGTGGAATAATATGGAAATATGGAGCACCAAACCAGTGCTTTCCACTGTTTCCAGGGAAAAAAGCTATGGAATGGCTTGTTCCAAGTTGAAATCACCTGTTAGAATAGACTGGGAATTTAAGTGGGATACAATTGCCTAATTAATTAAATATTTGCTTGCTAATCACCCAGCCTAACGAGGAAGGGAGCACCTTGGCCATTAGTACTGAAGAAGGGAGCACCATCAGTACTGAAACATTCCTGGCTGGACCCCTTTCCATGTGTGTTTAACAGTGACTCCCAGGAATTCTGAGCCAAGCTCCCGAAGGTCAGAACCGACAAACCAGGGTGGAGATCCTACAAAAGCCCCCCAGGACTGGGAACACGGGAATTCCCAAACTGCCCTGGGTTTGGTGGGCTCACAGCACACGGCGGGTGTCGGAACAGGACACAGAGACCCTGCAGCCACTGCCCTCACCCCATTCCTCCCACCCCAAACCTCCTCCAGCGGCTTGGCGCTCATTCCAAGCCCAGCCTGGGCAAATCCCGGATTTCCCGACTCACTTGGGCTTGATGGAGTCGCAGGGAGCCTCCTCCAGCAGGTCGTAGATGTAGTTGTTGTAGATCTCGATGTAGGACACGAAGACGCCGTAGACGTTGTCCTCGTCCACCTCCTCCGCCCGGCACTGGTCCTGCACGCCGATCATGTCGGCAAACTCGGGATCCAGCTGCCTCCTGCGGGAAACTGGGATTTGGGATGGAACTCCTGGCAGCCGGAGCGCGCCGGGGCAGCTCAGAAGGGCTGGGTGGGGAAACGGGCAATATTCAGCAAAATTCCCGTTCCCGGGGGGGCTGTGCAGGGCCGGGAGTGGGAATTCCATGATCCAGCTGGGGGAATTCCATGATCCAACTGAGGGGAATTCCATGGCTGGAATTCCATGATCCATCTGAGGAATTGCCATGGCTGGAATTTCACGATCCAACTGAGGAACATCCATGGTGGAAATTCCACAATCCAGCTGAGGGAATGCCATGGGGGGAATTCCATGATCCAACTGAGGGAATTCCATGGTGGAAATTTCATTATACAACCAAGGAAATTCCATGGCTGGAATTTCATGATCCAGCTGAGGAATTGCCCTGGCTGGAATTCTATGATCCAACTGAGGGAATTCCATGTTGGAAATTCCACAATCCAACTGAGGGAATTCCATGGTTCAACGGAAATATCTCCAAACTGAACGTCACCGGATTTGGCTGGCGAGGCTTCATCCATGGTTCAATGGAAATATCTCCAAACTGAACGTCACCGGATTTGGCTGGCGAGGCTTCACAGAGCTGGATTCTTACTCGGCACCAGGGGTTTTAATCCTGGCTTAACAGGTACAAAAATAGGCTGGGTCTAAGTCTTCTCACCTACAGGGCTCTCAAACCACATGGAACACACTAATTTCCCATTAATATGTTACTAATTATTATTAATAATAACCCTGCACGTGGGACAATATTGACTTGAAGATCTCTTTGAAATTCTGGGGGGAAAAGGCCAAACACTCGGAAAAAAAGTATGGAATCACTTCCTCCAAGCTGAAATCTCTTGTTAGAACTGCAGGAATAGATTGGGAATTTCAGTGGGATACAATTACCTCATTAATTAAATATTTGCCTTTTTTTTCCCCATTTTTTGCCTTCATTTCTTCAAGGGAAGAGCCCAAGAGAAGTTAAACCCCATTTCTAGGGAATAAATTCCCTCTGCTATTCCCAGTCACTCACTTCCCAGCTGGAGTTTTTGGGGTGGGCAGGGCCTCCCTCCTCTGGCGTTCCAGCAGAGCCTCCACCTCAGTCTGCACATCCACCCCGTTCTTGTCATCCAGCTTGAAAACCTGAGGGAAAAACCAGGAATTTCAGCCAATTCCAACACCCAGGTAGTGGCCAACAAAGCATTATTTGATTAATTAATTAGTCTGACTAGGCTGGTATTAATATATTAATACCATGCCTCTCATTGGCACTTAACCCAGCAAGATCTAACAGAAATAATTTGCAAAATAATGATTTAGAAAAGCTCCCAAGGATGAGAATTCCAGGATTATTTCAGTATATTTTAGGCACCACCAGTGCATGCCTCTGGAAAAATATCCCTAGTTTCACGAGGAGACAATTTTTGGCTTTATGGGAATTAATGAAGTGAAATAATATGGACATATGGAGCACCAAACCAGTGTCTTCCACTGTTTCCAGGGAAAAAAAAAAGCCATGGAATGGCTTCCTCCATGATGAAATCACCTGTTAGAACAGCAGGAATACTTTGGGAATTTCAGTGGGATACAACCACCTAATTAATTAAAGATATGCTTATTAATTACCCATCCTAATGAGCAAGGGAACACCTTGGCCATCAGTACTGAAATATTCCTGTCTGGATTCCTTCCCATGTGTTTTTAACAGATTTTCCTAGGATGGGCTCGGGCAAGAAGCACCAAACCACGGAATGCTTTAAAAGCATTCCCAGAAATTCAAACCCTTTTGGAACGAGGACCCTGGCGTGGGGTTTTTCCCCTCTTCCAAGCCCTCCAGTGGCAGGTTTGGAGCAGAAATCCCTGGATCTGGGGCTGTGGGGAGGCACTCACGAATCTCTTGGCCTGGAAGGGGCCGATGCTGTTGAAGATCATGGCCAGGCAGCGGGGCAGGAGCCCCCCATCCCCAGGAGATCCTGTCATGGTGTGGGTCTTCCCGCTGCCCGTCACTCCATAGGTGAACAGCAGACCTGGGAATGCAGGGAGAAATCAATGGGATTGGGAATAAAAACCAACCCACCTCAAACATTGCACACCATCCAAGGTGCTGGGAGCTCTGGCTGATGGTCCCAGCTGGGAATATCCTTCATCCTCTCCAGAGCCACAGACCAGCCCTGGGATATTCCAGGCTGGAAGGGGCTTGGAGCACCCTGGGACACAGGAAGGTTTCCCTGCCCATGGAATGGGATGAGCTTTAATGCCCTTCCCATAGATTTGATGGTTTAGGAAGTGATGCTTTTTGCCATTTGTTGCTTTTTTGGGAGTTGAAAATGCGCTTTGCTGAAAGCCCAAAATGCTGATTTCACAACTTGCAGCTCCCACAAACCATGGGAAAACTTGGGAGAGCAGGGAGAAGGATCTGGATGCATCATTCATGGAATTCCAGAACGCTTTGGGTGGGAAGGGACCTTAAAGCCAATCCCTTTGCCAAAGACAGGGACACCCTGCTAAGCCAGGCTGCTCCAATGTCATTTCCATGGCATGGGATCACCCATTCCCACCCAAACCGCCCCAGGATTCCTACTCCAGAAAGAGCTGCCAGGGGTATGGTGTGAGGAGCCACAATTCCAAACAAACCTTGGGAGCACTGGATCACCCATTCCCACCCAAACCACCCCAGGATTCCTACTCCAGAAAGGGCTTCCAAGGGATTTCCAAACTGAAATCTCTTGTTAGAACAGCAGGAACAACTGGGGATTTCAGTGGGATACAATTACCTAATTAATTAAATATTTGCCTTTTTTTTTTCCCAATTTTTCCTTCATTTCTTCAAGGGAAGAGCCCAAGAGAATCCCATGAAGTCCCATTTAGTGTGAGGAGCTGAGCCACCATTCCAACCAAACCTCAGAGGCACGGGATCACCCATTCCCACCCAAACCACCCCAGGATTCCCATTCCAGAAAGAGCTTCCAGGGGTGTGGTGTGAGGAGCTGAGCCACCGTTCCAAGCAGACCTCAGGAGCACAAAATCCTGGGAATGGGGGCACAGAGAGGAGCTCTGCTCACCGTTCTTGCCCCGGATCAGATCCTCCACCAGAGGCTTGGCCACCACGTCAAAGAGCTGCTTCTGCACCACCAGCGTGCCAAAGACCTCCTTGAAGGAATACTGGGTCTGCCAAGAGAGGGAAAACCAGCCTGGAATTCCAGCCCCGCGGCCTGGAGTGGCCAGAGGGACCCCACGGAGCAGAGAATTCCCAAAGGACAGCAAAAAGCTGGAATTTCCTTTCAGCTCCCCCCAGAATCCAAGCAAAGGAACATCCTCCGTGGCCAAAGTGGAGCTGTTCCCTCATGGAATTTTGTTTATTTTGGGTCTTTTACCAGTCCAGCCTCAGTTTTCAGGTTTGAATTTCAAGCTGGTTTTAATTTTTTAATGAATTATTTTAATGAATTTTGAAATGAATTTTAATAGTCCTAAATTTCAAACTGGTTTTATTTTTTAATGATTTATTTTAATAAATTTTAAAAGAAATTTTAATTTTTGATGGTCATTTTTCCACCAAAACTCTTCCTTAGGGAAATACCTAAATTCCAAATTTCTGAACAAAACCTCATTGAATTAAATTAAAATTCCATTAATTAAGCTTTGCCTGTTTTATTTAAAGCTTTGAAAAACCCTTAATTCCCTTCCCATAGGAATCTTCCAGCTGAAACTGGAAATGAAATATTCCATATCCAAGCTACGATCCCCATACAGAGAAGCTGTGGAATGTCCAAGGCCAGGTTGGACCAGTCAGGGATGGTGGATTCCCTGATTCCCCATGGAATGGGATGAGCTTTGAGGTCCTTCCCATCTATTTGATGGATCAGGAAGTGATTTTTTGTGTCCTAGATGGGTTTTTGGGTGGCAAACCTTCAGATTTTGCACTCTGCAAGTGCCACATGCCATGGGAAAGCTTGGGGAGCAGGAGCTGGATGGAATTCATGGAATTCCAGAGCTTTGGGTGGGATGGGACCTTGAAGCCAACCCCACTGCCAAGGGCAGGGACAGCTCCTGCTGAGCCAGGCTGCTCCAGGGCCACTTCCCGGGATGGGGCAGGAATTCCAGGCGCATTCCAGGCGGGAATGGCGTTACCTCGCGGTACTCGCCGTTCCGGAACACGCGGTAGCCCTCGGGAGGGTGGATCTGCACCGTGGTGCCGTTGATGACCTCGATGCAGCATTCCTGGTCTGCCCGGCTGAGCGGCCGCACGCGGCAGTACACCTGGGAGAGGGGGAAATACCGGGAATGGAGCGGGAATAAACCGGGAACGGACCGGGAATGGAGCGGGAACGGGCCGGGAATGGAGCGGGAAGGGAGCGGGCAGTACACCTGGGAGAGGGGGAAATACCGGGAATGGACCGGGAATGGAGCGGGAATGGGCCGGGAACGGAGCGGGCAGTGCACCTGGGAGAGGGGGAAACCGGGAATTGACCGGGAATAAACCGGGAACGGACCGGGAATGGAGCGGGAACGGACCGGGCAGTACACCTGGGAGAGGGGGAAACCGGGAATGGACCGGGAACGGACCGGGCAGTACACCTGGGAGAGGGGGAAATACCGGGAATGGACCGGGAATGGAGCGGGAATGGGCCGGGAACGGAGCGGGCAGTGCACCTGGGAGAGGGGGAAATGGGAATGGACCGGGAATAAACCGGGAATGGAGCAGGAATGAACCGGGAAGGGAGCGGGCGGTACACCTGGGAGAGGGGGAAAACCGGGAATTGACGGGGAATAAACCGGGAATGGAGCGGGAACGGACCGGGCAGTACACCTGGGAGAGGGGGAAATGGGAATGGAGCGGGAATGGACCGGGAATAGACTGGGAATGGACCGGGCAGTACACCTGGGAGAGGGGGAAATGGGAATGGACCGGGAATAAACCAGGAACGGACCGGGAATTGAGCGGGCAGTACACCTGGGAGAGGGGGAAAACCGGGAATTGACGGGGAATAAACCGGGAATGGAGCGGGAACGGACCGGGCAGTACACCTACAAAAGGGGGAAAAACCGGGAATGGACCGGGAATGGACCGGGAATTGACCGGGAATAAACCGGGAATGGACCGGGAATAAACCAGGAACGGACCGGGAATTGAGCGGGCAGTACACCTGGGAAACCGGGAAAACCGGGAATGAATCTGGGAATGACGGAAACAGGGATAAACCGGGAATAAACCTGGGAATGAAGCCAGCAGTACAGCAGGAATGAGGGAAACAGGGATAAACCCGGGAATGAACCTGGGAGTGCGAAGAAAAGGGGGGAAAAACCGGGAATGAACGGGAATAAACCGGGAATGGAACGGGAAAGGACCGGGCAGTACACCTGGGAGAGAGGGAAAACCGGGAATTGACCGGGAATGGACCGGGAACGGACCGGGAACGGACCAGGAATTAATCGGTCAGTACACGCGGGATAGGGGAAAAACCGGGGAATGAACATGGAATGAGGGAAACGGGGATAAACCCGGGAATAAACCCGGGAATGAACCTGGGAGTGCGAAACCGGGATAAAGCAGGAATAAACCCGGAACGAGAGGTGGGAATGAACGGGAACCGGGATAAACCCGGGAATAAACCTGGGAATGAAACCGGCAACAAAACCGGGAATGCCGCGGGGCGGGATGCGGGGGGCTCGGGATGATCCCGGCCGTAACACCGGGAATGCCGCGGGGCGGGAATCGCGGGGCTCGGGCCGAGCCCGGCCGTAACACCGGGAATTCCGCGGGGTGGGAATCGCGGGGCTCGGGATGATCCCGGCACTCACCCCCACCGGGTCCTTCTGCGCGGGGTTCGTGCCTTTCCTCGGCCTGCGCGGCGTCCTGGCCCTGCCGGGGGGAGAGGGCGTGAGCGGAACCGGCACCGGCGGCACCGGGAACGGCACCGGGACCGGCACCGGGACCGGGAACGGCACCGGGAACGGCACCGAGAACGGCACCGGGAACGGCCGGGGGACCGCGAGAGGGGGGCAGACAGCCGGGGGGGGCGGGAGGAGCGGGCAGCGCCCGCCGCGATTCAAATCCGACCAATCGGCGCGCGCCGCCCCCGCCTGACGTCGCCGCGCACGGCGCGTCACCATGGCGACGCCGAAAGGGGCGCGGCCCCGCGGCGCGGGCGCCCCCTGCTGGTGGCGGCGGTGGTGGGTGGCGCGGGTTCGAATCCCGGCTCCGGCAGATCCCGGTTTTTCCCCCCCTTTTTATCCACCTAATTCCAATCTTTCAGGAAAACCATTGGAATGCAGACCGTTTGCAGGGCCAGGACCTCCCTGTGTGCCTGCCTGGAAGTGAATCAGTCACCCAGTTAATTCCCAACCCAATGGAAACAAGTGAATTCCCAACCTGTGGAAAATGAGCAAATTCCCAACGTGTGGAAAACGAGTGAATTCCCAACCTGCTGGAAATAATTCCCAAACTGCGGAAACAGGTTAATTCCCAACGTGTGGAAAATGAGTTAATTCCCAACCCGGTGGAAGTGAGTGAATTCCCAACCTGTTGGAAATGAGTTAATTCCCAACCCAGCGGAAACAGGTTAATTCCCAACGTGTGGAAAATGAGTTAATTCCCAACCCGGTGGAAGTGAGTGAATTCCCAACCTGTTGGAAATGAGTTAATTCCCAACCTGCTGGAAATAATTCCCAACCTGTAGGAAACGAGTTAATTCCCAACCCGATGGAAATGAGTTAATTCCCAACCTGTGGGAAATGATCCGTGGTGGAAAACAACAGTGGAAATGTGGTGTTGGGACACGTGGGAAAAATCCGGCAGAACAAGTCCAGGGAAAAGCAAACTTCCTTCCCAGGGAACGGATCCCAATGGGGAACTGGGGAGAGGGATTCAATTCCTTTCAAATCCTGGGAATTTCCATTTTTAGTCCAAATTCCTGAATGCTTCCACAAGGCGCTTCAAGGATATTTTTTTTAAAATGGATAAAATCACCTGGAGGAGCCTGAAATTTCTGCTTTTTTCCAGCTTTTCCAAATCCATGTGGCTTAGGAGGGATGAGAGAGGTTTGCTGGAATTTCATCCCAAATTCCTTTGGGATTTGGCATGGATCAACATTCCACAAATAAATATCCCAGTTTATATCCTTGGAACAACTGGACACAGAGTTTTCATTTCTCCTGGGAAGGGAATTGAGGAAAATCCAGAGATTTTTGGTAAAAAGGTGGAAAAATCCTCTCCCTGTGCCGCTCCAAGATCCAGCATCACCCATTCCACGGGTTCAGCCAGAGGATCCCGTGGAATCCTGGCATTCCATCCCCTTTGGAATGCAGTTTTCCTGAAATTCCGGCACTGGAGAGGACGGGAGGATTTCAGTTCCAAAGCTGATGGACCTGGAATAATTCTGGGATGACTCCCGATGTTTTTCCAGGCTCTCCAATCCCAGCCGGATTCCTCCCCGGTCACGGCAGCTCCCAAAGTAAATAAACTCTGGAATTATCAGCAATGATCTCCAAAAGAATTCATTTTCCCAGGAATATTTTTATTATTAAGCAGAATAAAATCAGTGATTTATATTAACTTAATAAAACCGTTGGAAAACCAATTCCAATGCTTATAAATATCCTGAAAATCCCGCTCAGCATTCCCAAGCATTGATTTATCCCGTATTTAACCCGTTCATCCCAGATTTTATTGGGATATCCCAAATTCCAGCAGCTCCCAAAGTGCAGCAGTCAGACCTCAGCAAAGGCAATTAAAGGAAATTAATGGAAGACCCGTGGGATTATCCAGGCAAATATTCCCAAAGAAAAAATGTCTGCTGTGTTCCCACAGGGAAATCCAAGAGGAATTCCTGGATCCTGGAAAAGCCTGGAGCTCCAGGCTCTTCCTGCAAAATCCAGGAGCAGCAGGGAAGGAAAACAAGGAACAGCAGAGGGAAAATTCTGGGAATTCTTTAAAATTCCAGGGCGCTTTTAACCCTTGAGCTGTCCCAAATCCTGCTTTTCTCCTGGCGTCTCCCCGCGGATCCCAATCCCAAAACATTCAAAACCTTTTCCTAAAGGATCCCAAATCCCACGAGGCTGGGGTGTGCTCTTCCTCCCCCACCCCCAGTCCCAGGATCCAGGATGCAATTCCTTAATTCCATCCCCCCCATGGAAACTCGGAATTCCCACAGCACTGAACTTCTCCGGATTTCCCGGAGTGAGGCCCTGGCAGAGCTTTCCTGCAGGAACATCCCACTGGGGCTCTCCTGGAATCCCTTTTCCCAGATAAAGAGTAAAACCAGTGGGAATTAAACTGGGAGGGAAACTCCAGTCGCTCCATCCCACCTCTCCAGGCACTTGGGCTGAGTGCAAGGCTCGGAATTCCAAAGGAATATCCAAGGGGAAAACGAGAATCAGGGAGTGCCTGGCTTCACCAGGAATCTCCCAGCTGGAGATGCAAACATTCCCTGGATTTCTCCCAAAGGCAGACCCAAGGGATCCCGGATCCTTTGGGAAGCAGGAGCCCTTCCCTCCCTTTTCAGGGATCAAATCCTGATTATTCGGCATTTTCCCTGTGGATAACAACAGGATGGGAAGCGTTTCCCAGCCATCCATGGATAAAACCGCTGCAGTTTTCCCTTGGAAAATTCCCAAAGAAATATTTCCAGGCGACCCAATTCCCCCATGGACACCTCTGGAACGGGACTGCTCCCGGCAAGCCAAGGCGATCCCTGATTCTAGTGGGATTTTTCCCGGGAAGGAGGCTCCGGGCGGAGGCTGCGGAAGCAGACCCCGAGGATGGCCAGGCTGGCGGCCGCCCCCATTCCCAGGGATCCGAAGGTTTCCAGGGAAGAGGGCAGCGGGAGGCGGCCCCGCCGCTCCGCCATGTCCATGGAGATGGCTTCCAGCTGGAAGAGCGTTCCCAGGATCCCGCAGATGTGGAAAACCTGGTGGCTGTGCCCTGTGACAGAAAATTCCGAGAATTCCATGGAAATTCCATGGAAATTCCAGGGGTGTTCAGCTGGGCCAGGTGGGTTCCACGTTCCCAGAATGCTCTGGGGGCTTGGAGCGCTCTGGGATAGTGGGAGGTGTCCCGGCCCATCCAAACATCCCAGAATTCCAGGATTCCAGGACTGAATTACACTCAGCCCGCTTCACCTGGCATCCATGGAATATTTATCCCACAAATTCCTGATCCCTCAGGTTTTATCCTCTTTGTAATTCCTATTCTCAATGTCTGCGGCTCCAAGGAATTTATTCCCGGGATTCTATGGGGTTTATTCCCAGCATTCCCTGGGTTCATTCCTGGGATCCCATGGGGTTATTCCTAGAATTCCCCTGGGGTCATTCCCTGGATTCCCTGGGGTTCACTCCCAGCATTCCTGGGGTTTATTCCCTGGATTCCCGGGGTTCGTTCCCCGGGTTTATTCCCTGGATTCCTGGCGTTTATTCCCAGCATTCCTAGGGTTCATTCCCAGCATTCCCAGTGTTCATTCCCAGCATTCCCGGGGTTTATTCCCAGCATTCCTGGGGTTTATTCCCAGCATTCCCAGTGTTCATTCCCAGCATTCCCGGGGTTTACTCCCAGCATTCCCGGCAACGCTCACCGATGAAGTCGAAGCTCCCCGGCGCCAGGCGCTCGGGCAGGTGGGAGGTGAAGCTCAGGAAGGTCAGGAGGGCGCAGAGGCTGTGCCGGGAATGCAGCGGGAGCGAGCCTTCGGAGCAGCTCCCGGCCGCGCTCCGGGACAGCTGCCGGCAGAAACGGGAGTGATCCATCCCTCCATCCATCCACGCATCCATGAATCCATCCATGGTTCCATCCATCCATCCATCCATCCATCCCTCCATTCATCCATGAATCCTTCAATCCATCCATCTATCTGTGAATCCATCCATCCATCCATCCATCCATCATCCATCCATCCATCCATGCATCCATCCCTCTTCTGGGGCATCCCTCCACCATATGTCATCCATCCAGTGGGGAATCACTCCAAATCATGGAGCATCACCCATCCATGGATCCATCCATCGGTCCATCCGTGGTTCCATCCTTCCCTCCCTCCATCCATCCATCCATGGTTCCATCCGTGAATCCATCCATCCATCCATCCATCCATCCATCATCCATCCATCCATCCATCCATGGTTCCATCCATTCATGATTCCATCCATGGGTCCATCTCTCATCCATCCATCATCCATCCATCCATCCATCCATCCATCCATCATCCATCCCAAAGGAGCCATTCCCAGTTCCCCACTCCCCTCAGCCCCACTCCAACCCTGCTTCCCAGGAAAAAAGCAGGATTGATCCATCAGTCCCAAGGAGCCATTCCCAGCTCCCCACACCCATCACCTCCACTCCTGCCGGCCCAAATTCCCACCCTGCTCCACTTTAATCCCTGGAAAAGGCCCCTCCCAGCTTCCCAAGGCAGGAATTTTCCATCCCTTTGAAGTGAGAGGAATCCGCCAGCAGTCGGAGCAGGAAAAAATATCCCAAGGCCTTTTCCTGCCGGAGTTTGTTTGCCTTTCAAACCCCAAGCTGGGCCCGTTTTCCCAAAGAATTCCAGGCTGAGGCAGCTGAAATTTCCCAGGATTCTGTGGGATACGCACCCTGTAGAAAACTGGGATGCTGTCGAAAATGTAGGGATACACGAAGGCCAAAGTTCGGAAGGCTTTGCTCAGGCGGGGCCGCTCCGCCTCCAGAAACCTGGGAAACACCGGGAATTCCACAGGGGATACACAGGGAAACACCGGGAATTCCACATGGGATATGCAGGGAAACACCGGGAATTCCACATGGGATACGTGGAGCAACACCGGGAATTCCACATGGGATACACAGGGAAACACCGGGAATTCCACATGGGAAACACCGGGAATTCCACAGGGGATACGCAGGGAATTCCACAGGGGATACACAGGGAAACACCGGGAATTCCACATGGGATATGCAGGGAATTCCACAGGGGATACACCGGGAATTCCACAGGGGATACACAGGGAATTCCACAGCTTCTCTGGGAACCTGGGATAGCAGACCTGAACCATCTCCAAGTTCCCTCCCAATCCAAACCATTCCAGGATTCCATAAATCCCCTTTGGAACTTCCCAAAAATCCAAGCTCCTCCCATTACTCCACATTTTCATCATCGAATTCTCCTCATTTCCCAACGGAAAAATTCCCTCTTTCCCCTTCCCCAGCTCCCGGCTGGGCCAGCCTGTGAGCAAAGCCCTGATCCCGAATTCCCGGTGCCGCTGGATCCCACCTGGAATAGCAGGACAGGCCAGTGCTGAGCACGGAGTTGAGCACGGCCACGGGGACGTAGAAATCATGGAATGTGCTCCCAACCCATTCCAGCGGGAAGACGTAGGCGGAATACGCCAGCGCCGAGCCTGGAAGCACAGCGGGGCCCTCAGCTCCCAATCCCGGAATTCCCTGGAATTCCCCTGGAATTCCTCCTCCTCCTGGGCTCAGCTCTGAGCTCCGGGTTGGGACATCGGGAAGGGCCGGGAATCTCTGGAGCAGGCAGCATTCCAGAGGGACTGGAGGGCTGTGGGAATATCCTGGAATTGCCGTGTGCTCCCAGTGAGGCTCCTCCGCTTGGGTAAAATCCGGGATTTTTCCTCATTCCCGCTATCCCAAATCCCACCCAGCCACATCTGTCCCGAATTATTTGTGGCCAGAGCTGCTCCAGGCCATTCCCGAGCTCTGGAGTGCAGGGATGAGGAAAAGGTAGAACAGGAATTCCCCCCAAACTTCCCCTCTGGATGTGGCATCCCACAAATCCAGGCTAAATTCCCAAAATCCTGTAAATCTGACCTAACCCAGCTTCTCCCGACCTACCAAATTCCTGAAATCTCATAAATCTGGGCTAAGTTCCTGAATTCCTGAAATCTGGGCTATCCCAGCTCCTACTGTGCTCCCAAATTTCCAAAATCCCATAAATCTTGGCTAAATGCCCAAAATTCCATAAAGCCAGGCTCATCCTGTGCCCAGATCCAGTCTAAATTCCGGAAATCCCATAAACCCAGGTTCTCCCACCTCCTCCTGAGCACCCAAATTCCCAAAATCCCATCAATTCCCCAAATCCCATAAACCCCCTGGAATTCCCAAATCCCAACCATTCCCCCAGTAATCCTCAAATCCCATCAATGTCCCCGGAACTCCCAAATCCCATCAATCCCCCCAGCATCCCTCAAATCCCACAAACCCCACAGCATTCCCCAAATCCCATAAACCCCCCTGCAACTCACAAATCCCACAAACCCCACAGCATTCCCCAAATCCCATAAACCCCCCGGAATTCCCCAAATCCAATCCATTCCCCAGTAATCCTCAAATCCCATCAATCCCCTTGGAACCCCCAAACCCCCAGGCATTCCCCAAATCCCATCAATCCCCCAGCACTCCCCAAATCCTGCAACCCCCCTGGCATTCCCCAAATACCATAAACCCCCCTGGAACTCCCAAATCCCACAAACCCCCTGGCATTCCCCAAGTCCCATAAACCCCCAGGCATTCCCGAAATCCCATCCCCCAGGTGTGCCCAGCTATGTCTTGAGGGCATCCCCAGGTGTGCCCGGGTGTGCCCAGGGGTGTCCAGGGGTGTCCAGGTGTGCCCAGGGGCTGAGGGTTACCCACCCGATGTGCCCCGATGTTGAGGGACACCCACCAGGTGTGTCCAGGTGTTGAGGGGACCCCCCCAGGCGTTCCCAAGGGCTGAGGACAACCCCAGGTGTGCCCAGGTGTGCCCAGATGTTAAGGGGAGCCCCCAGGTGTGCCCAGGTGCGCCCAGGCGTTAAGGGTTACCCACCAGGTGTGCCCAGGGGCTGAGGGGACCCCCCCAGGTGTGCCCAGATGTGCCTTGAGGGCATCCCCAGGTGTTCCCAAGGGCTGAACGCACCCCCAGGCGTGCCCAGGTGTTAAGGGGACACCCACCAGATGTGCCCAGATGTTGAGGGACACCCACAGGCATGCCCAGGTGTTAAGGGGTATCTCCAGCTGTGCCCAGCTGTGCCCAGGTGTGTCTTGAGGGTAACCCCAGATGTGCCCAGCTGTGCCCAGGTGTTAGGGGCCCCCCCAGGTGTGGCAGGGCCGTGGCGCTCACCCGGCGGGCACCAGGTGTGTCCAGATGTTGAGGGTCTCGTTGTTCATCCCGAAGAGGCTGAGCAGGCACTCGCAGGCCGAGCTGCGGGGCGGGCGGTACCCGGAGAGAATTCCCGGCTCCCGGTAACTCTGGGAACGGGGACGGGGATGGGAATAACGGGGATAACGGGAATAATGGGGATAATGGGAATGATGGGGAAAATGGGGATAATGGGGAAAGTGGGGATAATGGGGATGATGGGAATGATGGGAATAATGGGAAGAATGGGAATAATGGGAATGGTGATAATGGGAATAATGGGAATGATGGGAAGAATGGGAAGGATGGGAGTGATGGGAATAATGGGAAGAATGGGAAGAATGGGAATGGGGATAATGGGAATAATGGGAATGAAGATGGGGATGGGAATAATGAGAATGGGAATGGGAATAATGGGAAGAATGGGAATGGGGATAATGGAGATAATGGGAATAATGGGAATGGGAATAATGGGAATGGGGAAGGGAATGGGAATGGGAATGGGAATAGGGAATGGGAATGAGGATGAGAATAATGGAAATGGGGATGGGAATAATGGGAATGAGGATGGGAACAGGCACAGGGTCAGGAATGGGAGTAATGGGAATTGGAATTAGGGATGGGAATGGGGATGGGGATAGGGATGGGGATGGGAACAGGAACGGGAATGGGGAATGGGAAATGGGAATGGGAAACAGGAAATGGGAAAGGATAGGGGAATGGGAATGGGAACGGGAATGGGAACAGGAATGGGAACAGGAAATGGGAAATGGGAAAGGATAGGGGAATGGGAATGGGAACGGGAATGGGAACAGGAATGGGAACAGGAAATGGGAAATGGGAAAGGATAGGGGAGCACCCCCAATTCCGGAGCTGGGACACAGCTGTGCCCCCTTGGGGTGACCCTGCCGCTGTTCCCGTGTGTCACATCCCAAACCCTGCTGATTCCCGGATCAGGGATGGAATTCCCACTGACCTCGGGCACCTGGTGGGCGCGGAGCAGCCGGGCCGTGGGGCTCGGCATGGCCAGCTCCGGATCCCGGGATTTCCCAGCTCAGCTTCCACAGGACAGCTCCTCAAAGCCGCATCCCGCGGGAACGGCGCTGCTCCCGCGAGGATCCCGGGATCAGGACGGCCTGGAGGGAATGGGAATCCCTGGGATGAGGCACAGGGCCCAGTCCCAAATCCCAAATCCCACAGGGAATTGGATCCCAGCGGGATGGGGAGCATCCGTGCCCTGAGGGGTGCTGGGATCCCAAGGGAGCAGCGGGAGAAGGCTGATCCCGCTTCCCAGAGGGATGTGGGACCACCTCGGGATCACACCGAGATCCCGGGATGCAGGACGGTCCCTCGGGAAGCAGAGGGACACGGGATCCCAGCTGGATCCCCTCTCCCATGGAACATCCCGGCTCCGGCTCTTACCCGATCCTGGCGTCGGCAGCGCCGCCTCCGCTCTGGGAAACCAAGGGAGAAATCCATGATCCTTCCTTCCCTCCTTCCCGGAGCAGGAAAAGCGGGAAGGGAGCTCCTGCTCCGGGTGCTGCCTCAGCTCGATCCCAGCAGGATCCAGAGGGATCCAAGGTTCTGGGTTCCCAGAATCCCAGAGCTCCCGGAGCCTCTGCAGCATCCTGGGCTGCCATTCCAGCTGCTCCAGCCACCCCAACTTCCCAGCGGGACCCAGCCCTTGGCTGTGCCACGCAGCCATTCCCAAAAAACCCCTTTGCCAGCCCTGGAGTCCCTGGATTCCATCCCAGCCCTACCTCTGCCAGCTCCGGTGGGAGGCAGCTCCAGGAAAAGCCCTGGAACGCCAGGAACGGCTGGAGAGGGAGGGAAAAATTAATGAGGCAGGAGAGCAATGAACCAACAAAACCCCGCTGGGAACGCCCCCGGTTAACGATTAGACGGGAATGGGGGAATGGGGGAATGGGAATGGGAATCTGGGGCTTCCCAGGGCTCTGGAAGCACCGAGGTGCTGCCTCAAAGCTCCACAGAGTCTGCAGTCCCGGCTCCCACAGAATTCCTGCGGTTTTCCACGGTGGAAACAGCACCTGAATCCAGAGAAGGCTCCAGGGAAAGCTCAGACCCTTCCAGGGCCTGCAGGGGCTCCAGGAGAGCTGGAGAGGGACAGGATGCAGGGAATGGCTCCCACTGCCAGAGGGCAGGGATGGATGGGAGATTGGGATTAGGAATTCCTGCCTGGGAGGGTGGGAGGGGCAGGGATGGAATTCCCAGAGAAGCCATGGCTGCCCCTGGATCCCTGGAATGCCCAAGGCCAGGCTGGAATCTATTCATGGCCGGGGCTGGAATGAGATGAGTTTTGAGGGCCCTTCCAACCTGTAATTCTGGGATTCTGGGATTCTCGGAGGGCAAAGGAACGAGCCCTTCCAGAGGCACGAGCCATTCCAAAGGCTTGGGCTTTTCCAGAGGCTCCTCCCAGGTGCAGGATCCCGCTGTGCCCAGAGCCCCTGGATGGGATCCCCGAGCTGGGAGCACCTGGATCCATCCCAGCCCAGCCATTCCTGCGCAGGGATCCCTTCCCTGTTCCCTGTTCCCTGTTTCCAGTTCCCTGCCCCTATTCCCTGTCCTTGTTCCCCATTCCCTGTTCCCTGCCCCTATTCCCTGTTCCTATTCCCTGTTCCCTATTCCCATTCCCAATTCCTTGTTCCCTGTTCCTATTCCCGTTCCCTGTTCCCTATTCCCTGTTCCCGTTCCCTGTGGGAAGCAGGAGGAGGCTCCAGGCCCGGCCTCAGGCAGGAATTTGCGGTTTGGGAGGCAGTGCGGGCAGGGAGGGCAGTGAGTCACCGGGGCCGGGCCGGGCCGGGCCGGGGCTGCTTCCTCCTGCTCCTCCTCCTCCTCCCCCTGCTCCTGCTCGGGCTCTTCCCAGCCGGGAATGGGAATGGGAATGGGAATGGGAATGGGAATGGGAATGGGAATGGGATGGGATGGGGGCTGTGACCCCTGTGAGTCACCTCTGCCAGCGCTGCGGCTCCGCTCAGGCGGCTGCAACAGCTCCTCTTCCTCCTCCTCCTCCTCCTTCTCTTCTTCCTCTTTCTCCTTAATTTCCTCCTCCTCCTCCTTCTCTTCTTCCTCCTTCTCTTCTTCCTCCTCCTCCTTAATTTCCTCCTCCTCCTCCTTCTCTTCTTCCTCCTCCTCCTCCTCCTCTCCCTCCCCAGGCTGCCCTGGGGAATGTCCCCACCTGGCACCGATGTCCCCACCTGGCAGCACTGCCACCCGCCCGGCCGTGTCACCTTGTCACCGTCCTCTGCCCACGGCACAACCCCCATGGCTCCTTTCCTTTCCTTTCCTTTCCTTTCCTTTCCTTTCCTTTCCTTTCCTTCTCATCCCTCCCCACGGCACATCCTTCCCTATGGAATATCCTTCCCCATGGCACATCCCACCCCCTGGCACGGCTCTCCCTGGCACACCCTGGCTCATCCCGCGTTCCAGCGGCTTTTCCACGGGCCGGGAATATTCGGGAATTCCCGAGCAGCCCCGGCCGCGCTTCCCCGGGCGCTGGAAAACTCCGGGAGCGGCGCGGGCCGTGCCAGGACCGCTCCCGGCGGGACAACGCCGGCTTTGTGGCAGTTGTTGTTGTTGTTGTTGTTGTTGCCGCTGGAATTCGCCGGGATCCGCCGGGACCCGCAGCTTTCCCATCCCAAAAAGCCGCCGCTGCCCCCGTCCTTCCCGCGGGACCGGGGATCCCAGACCCCATCCCGCTCCCGAGAGAAACTTCCCGGGAATTCCGCGATCGCCGCGCCGGGAGGGCCGGGCATGCTCCCGCTGCCCCGGCACTTTCCCCATTCCCATCCCCATTCCCATCCCCATCCCATTCCCATTCCCATTCCCATCCCATTCCCTCGCTCCCCGGGAGCCGAGCCCCGGGATCAGCGGGATCAGCGGGAATGCCGGGGTTCCCAGGGACTCACGGCGCCGCTCGCAGCCCCGCTGGACGCGGCGTTTCCCAGCGCTGCCTCCAAATCCCGGGATTACTCAGCCGGGAGCAAACACTGCCCGCATGGAATTCCCGGCCGGGCGGGCGCGGCTCTTCCAGAGGCACGATCCGGCCGGGAACAGCCCCGGGGATGATCCCAGAGGCGGCAATTCCCGGGATCTGGGAGCGAATGAACCCCGGCTCGCCCAAGGGAAAAAGGTTCCCAGATAAACCCGGAAATCAGCGCGGCCAAACGCGGCCGGGATCGGATCCAGCGGCGAGGAAGTGGAAAAAAAGCAGGAAAAAAATAATTCCCAGGCCTGGCGAGCATCTCCCGCTCGCAGAGCAGCCTGGCCATCCCAGGCCGCCCGCGGCTGCTCATTCCCGGCTTATTCCCACCTGGATGGGGGTGAATCCCAGCCCGGCGGCTTTCCCGTTCTGCTTCCCAAAAATTCCCTGCTTTTCCTGCAGTGTTCCGCTGGGAATGGCTTTCCCAAAGTTCGGAGAGCGGGAGATTCCAGCGGGGTGGAGAGGGATGAGCGGTTCGTTAAGTGTTATTATTAATTATTATTAATTGTTATCCCTTAGTTACTCAGGAATTGGGAGAAGCGATCCTGGTGGATTCCCAGCTCCATCCCGAACTTCAATCCCACGGGAAAGTCCTGGGAACTCCTGGGATTAACCCCGACATGGCTTTTCCCTGGATTCCCGGGGCTCTGGAATTCCCTTCCCACCTTCAGGGATGCTCCAAGGCTCTTTCAATCCCAACGTGCCAAGGAATGGGAATCTCTCGGGAGAATCCCGGAATATTTTGGGTGGGATGGGCAGGGACACCTCCCACTATCCCAGGGTGCTCCTTGGACATTCCCAGGATTCAGGGGCAGCTGCAGCTTCTCTGGGAATTCCATCCCAGACAGGAATTCCTTCCCAAGATCCATCTAAATTTCCAATTTTTCCAGCCACTCCCTGTGAGCTGCCCCTCTGATCCCAATCCCTCTCTCCAGCTCTCCCTGGATTCCTGGAAGGGGCTCTGGGATTCCCTGGAGCTGCATTTTCCCATTCCCAACACTGGGATATCTTTAATGACCACTCCATTAAAATCCTCATTTAACAAATCCCAAAAAACTCCAAAGGAGCTGGATTTACCAGGAATAATTCCCAGCAGGAATCCACCACTTGTGCTCCTTCCCTCAATCACCAAGCCCTTCATTAATGGGAAAAATCCACATTTTCCCACTTTTCCAGAAGAAAACCTCCTTAAAACCACAACACCTCAAAGCCACCACAGGAAAAAAAAAAACCTGGAATACATTTGGAAAATAAAATACTTGGAAAATAAAATACTTGGAAAATAAAATACTTGGAAAGTCCCCAAATAAGGAAGACATCCCACTTTTTTTTTAAGATAAAAAAATTTATTTCCCAGTCTTAGAAAGCTTTCCAAGCATTCCCAATGTCCCATAGAAACGTAGGAGAACCTCTTCCCGCCAAAAATTCCGGAGGGGCGGAATACAAAACTATCCTGTGCACATTGTGCTTAAAGGAGCGCCCTGCCCGGAGCATCCTGTAAACAAATTATTGCATATTTTCCATCGGGATCCTCGGGAAAATCCCGGAAAATCCAACAAAATCCCAGCCAAGCCACGCCCGGGGAGGAGGAGGACGGGAATGAGCGGCTTCCAGGGAATGCCCAGATCCCAGGGAATTCCTGGATCCCAGGGAAATCCTGGATCCCAGGGAACGCCCAGATCCCAGGGAATTCCCAGATCCCAGGGAATGCCCGGATCCCAGGGAACGCCTGGATCCCAGGGAATGCCGGATCCCAGGGAACGCCCGGATCCCAGGGAATTCCTGGATCCAGGGAGGGTTGTGCTTGTGTTGTTGGGGTGGGGGAGCCACGGAGAGGGGATCCCATGGGAAGAGCCAACGGATCTCAGGGTGAAAATCTGGGATGGAAGCTGATCTGGGTCCCAAAGATCTCTGGGAGTTTGAAGATGGAAATGAAGGAAGAAATCCTAAACTGGAATGAACTCCAAGAAGTTTTGGGGATCGGCTCCACGGCCAAGGGTCCTCTTCCAATGCACAATGGAATTTAAGGAGTATCAGGAATTCCCCATGGATTCTCCATGGAACTGCAGCCTCTGGTGGAGATTCCTGGAAGCTGCACCCGTGCTAAGGCCACCAGAAGGTGATGGAAGGACAACCTTGGAATGCCCATCCCAAACTTCCAGCGGTGTCCAGGGAGAAAGGGTCCCACGGGAAGAGCCACGGATCTCCAGAGGAAAATCTGGGATCAAAGCTGATCTTGGCCCCAAAGATCTTTGGGAGTAGTTTAAAGGAGGAAAATGAACAAAAATATCCCAAACTGGAATCAATTCCATGAAGTTTTGGACACTGCCAGCAAGGTCAAGGATCCTCTTCCAATGCACAAGAGAATTTAAGGAATATTCCCATGGATTCTCCATGGACTTGCAGCCTCTAGGGGATTCCTGGAAGCTCCACCTGTCTAAGGCCACCAGAAGGTGATGGAAGGACAAGAGGTGGGACACGAGGGACAACCTTGGAATGCCCATCCCATGCTTCCAAGCGCTTCCAGAGCGGGAAAATCGGCTGCACTCCAACCCCACCATCGGCATCAATTCCCAAAAAACCCAGCCAAGAGGAATTCCGGCCTCTGTAAGGCACCAGCACCATCCTGGAGCAGCACCCAAGGAGGCTCTCCGGGTGGAGGGACAACCTTGGAATGCCCATCCCCCGCTTCCGGAGCGGGAAAATCGGCTGCACTCCAACCCCACCATCGGCATCAATTCCCAAAAAACCCAGCCAAGAGGAATTCCGGCCTCTGTAAGGCACCAGCACCATCCTGGAGCAGCACCCAAGGAGGCTCTCCGGGTTTTCCAGCTGGGAAAATGATGGAAGGAACACGCGGGGGGAGGATGGAGCGGATTTTTGGGAAGGAATCCCAGGTTTGGGGTGGGATTGTGTCCGTCAGGTTTCCATGGGCATGGAAAAAAATTCCCCTCTGCTACCTTTGGTATTGGAATTTCTCCTCTGCCATCCATCAGATGGACGGATCCGACCGCAGCGTGCGGATTAAAGCCGGGAAAAAACCCCTCCGAGATCGGTGAGGAATGAAGGAAAAGCCTCAAAAAATGAAAGCAATAAAAAGATGGAGATGGGTGTTGTTCTCGTGCCCGGGATTTTGGGATTGGGATCAGCTCCACCATGGAATGGGAGCAGTGGAATTCCTGAAGTCCATCCTCGAGTTCGGGACCAGGCAGCCGGTGGGATCATGGAATCATGGAATGGTTTGGAGGGAAGGACCTTAAAGCTCATCCCATTCCACAGGGACCCTTCCACTGTCCCAGGCTGCTCCAAGCTGGCCTTGGACATTCCAGGGATCCAGAGGCAGCCACAGCTTCTCTGGGAATTCCAGCCCAGGCAGAGCTGGAAAAACCTCTGGGATGGAATTGTTACAATGCTGGATGGGCTGGAGCAGGAGGAAAATGAAAATTCCCGAATTCTTGAATTTCCTGAGGAACTCCAGACGAGCTCCACGTCCCACTCAGCAATTCCCAAAAATGCCCCCAAAGCTGTGGGGAACCTCCCAGCTGGAATCCCAAAATCCCATAGAAAACGCAGAGCTCCAGGAAAAAGGATCCCAGCTCTGAGGGGACACCAGGATGAGGGATCCCAGCTCCGAGGGGACACCGGTGACCGGGATAAGGATCCCAGCTCCGAGGGGACACCAGGATGAGGGATCCCAGCTCCGAGGGGACACCAGGATGAGGGATCCCAGCTCCGAGGGGACACGGGTGCTGGTGGCCCGGGGCTGTGTGCTCCAGGCTCCCAGTTGTGCTTCCATGATGCCGGCACGTGTTTTCCATGAAGAAACCCTCCAGCTCCAGGATCTCCAGGCAGAGAACTGGCAAAAAATTCCAGCTGCGGATTTTTCATCCCAAAAAAGCGAATCCCTAGGAAACCCCCCCCCACTTCAAAGCCACACTTGGCACTCCCAGGCTCCGAGTGATTCCCATGGACGGCGCTCATCCCACGGGAGCTGCTCCAACACGGACACAAAATCCCGGTTGAAGAGGCCCTGGACGAGCTCTCCAGGCAGCGACCGCGCTTCCAAGACTTCTATGGCTTCTGCAAACGTTTTCCTCGGAAAAGGAAAAACCAATCCCAACCAACCCCAACCTCAACCTCAACGCGGGAGAGCGTCCCGATCCCAAACCCTCCCCGGAGCAGTTTTAAGGCCCCGCATTTTTGGGAAGGACGGGGAAGAGCTCAGTTGTGCTTGGCCCGCCCTCCCCGCAGGTAACTCTTCCACCTCTTGACGAACTCCCTGAAGACGGGCGCGTCGTCGATGGAGCCCAGCAGCTGCAGCTGGTTGATGTGCGTGGTGTGGTAGTCCCAGCGCGCCAGGTTGGGCGCCGTGCCCAGCATGAAGTGCCGCAGGTCGTAGATGGTGCCCGAGCCGGTGTCGAAGAGCGGCAGCATGGCCTTGAGCGACTCCATGCCGCGCTCGTAGAGCAGCCGCGCCTCCTTGCCCAGCTTCTCTCCGGCCGTCTCCTTCAGGTCGTAGAGGCCGATCAGGGAGTACATGAAGCCGTTGAGCACGAAGGAGCTGGGCGTGGTGGGGTACTCCTCGTACCAGTCGTGCCGGTTCATGAACACCGCCTTGACCCCGCGCTGCTCCGCCGGCAGCTTGAAGGGCGCCGTGGCCCTGAGCGCCGCGCCCAGGAACGCCGGCTCCTTGGTCAGCTGGTAGGCCCTGACCAGCGTGGACATGGCCTGGCCTTGCGCCATGGCCGAGTACCAGCCCGGGTCCAGGGATTTGAAGCCTTCTCCCAGCTTCCTGGTGACCATGATGGGCCAGCCGCCGCGCTCGTCCTGGTTGCGCAGCAGCCAGCGGCTGGCGGCGAAGAAGGCGGCCATGTGGGCGGTGGCCGAGATGGTGACGTTGTCCAGGAAGCCGCGGCCCTTGGCCACCAAGCGCAGCACCCTCTTGGGCATGATCTTGGTTTGCTTCACGGCCTTGGTGTTGGAGAGCCCCACGCCCTTGCGGAGATCCGTCAGCAGGTCCCGGGTGAGCGTGCTCCAGCTGCTGCGCGCCCCGATGCCGTAGAAGATGTCCCTGTCCCTGAGGGCGATGAGCTGCGTGCTGGACACGTAGTGCACGGTGAAGAGCTGGTTCCTCTCCGTGGTCTCCAGCACCACGGACACGCTGCCGTTGCTCAGCAGCTTCAGGTCGAAGGAGATGATGAAATCCCGGCCGTTGTTGAGCTCCAGGGAGACGCCCTCGGAGCTTTCTGCAAAAGCAACCCCGAGAAAGGCTCGCTCAGCATGGAAAGATTCCCGTTTCCAAAGGGTTGGAGCGGATTCCAGAGGCCGTCCCCGCTCCCGGGAGGGATTCCAAAGCTTTTAGAGCAGCCCTTCAATAATTCAACGTTTCTGGGCTGTTTCACCTGATTGGATTGGGAATGAAGGATAAGGAATGAAAAGGATGGGGAATGGAGGACGGGGAATGAAGGACTGGGAATGAAGGACTGGGAACAAAGGATTGGGAAGAAAAAGAATGGGGAATAAAAGGAATGGAGAATGAAAAGGATGAAGAGGACAGGAAATGAAGCACAAGGTATGAAAAGAATTGGGAATGAAGGACTAGGAATTAAAGGGGTAGGGAATGAAGGATTTGCAATGAAGGATTGGAAATGAAAAGGAAGGACTGGAACGAAGGATTGGGAACGAAGGATTGGGGATGGAAAGGACTGGGAATGAAGGATTGGGAATTAAAGGGGTAGGGAACTAAGGACTGGCAGTGAAGGATTGGAAATGAAAAGGAAGGACTGGAACGAAGGATTGGGAACGAAGGATTGGGGATGGAAAGGACTGGGAATGAAGGATTGGGAACAAAAGCCAAACAAAACACCAGCTTTTAACAATTCCCATTCCCTGCTCCACCACCCGCTGGAATTCCCACCACCCACCTGGGCAGGAGAACTGCTTGACTCCGGTGAGGCGGGACTTGTCCCAGACGGTGGTGAGGGAGCAGCCCTTGGGCACCGTCCACTCCCCGTTCCCGTTATTCCCGGTATTCCCGCTGTTCCCGTCCCCCGCCGTCTCGTACACCTCCACGTGGGGCGGCTTCTCCGTCAGGTTCTTGCTGTAGTGGCTCAGCCCGTACTGGGCGATCTGGATGGGGTAGAAGTAGCCCTGAGGGCCCCACTGTGTGGAGAGAGGAACTCCTGCCCGGGAAAAACACGGAAAAAGCGTTGGAATGAGGGGAAAATTCCTCCTCTGCACCCCGAAATTCTGCGAGTTCCATCAATGGGGTTGGAGGTTGGACAGAAGTCCTGGGGAAGGAGGGGGTTGAGCCCTTTCCCACTAAAATCCAGAAGTCTGTGGTTTTAGCTGGCAGAGGAATCCCTGGTGTCATCTTCCCGGCTTTTATGGAATTGTGGAATGGGCTGGCTGCAAGGGAACCTCAATCCCACCCCGTTCCAGCCCTTCCAAGGGCTGGGCCACTTCCACAATCCCAGGTGCTCCACGCCGGCATTGGACATTCCTGGGATCCAGGGGCAGGCACAGCTTCTCTGGGAATTCCAGCCCAGCCAGGAACTCCTTCCCAAAATCCCATCCACCCTTGCCCTCCAGCACTGGGAGCCATTCCCTGTGTCCCATCCCACTCAACTCATCCCTGGCGATCCCAAGGCTGGAGGTGCCACCACAAAACCCCATTCCCACATTCCCGGCACCAAATCCGGGTCACTTCCCACTTCCAAACCACTTTAAGGAGCACTTCCAGGAGATTTTCGGGATCACCCCAATCCCACAAAACCTTCTACTCTACTGATGCCCTTGACCCCCTCACAGACCTTGCCAGTGCCACCTCCATTCCCACCAGAACATCCAGGTCACTGCACTTCCAGCACATTTTAGGGATCATCCCAACCCCAAGGACTCCACATGGGGAATGCCCAGGCTCCCACCTTCCACACCACTGATGCACTTGACTGTGTCACCACTCCCATTCCCACATTTCCAACAGAACATCCAGCTCACTCTGCACTTCCAGGAGATTTTAAGGACCATCCCAACCCCAAACATTCCCCATGGGGAATGCCCTGCCCCCCACCCTCCATGCCACTGATGCACTTGGCCCCGCCACAGACTTTACTGGTGCCACCTCCGTTCCCACATCCCCACCGGAATGTCCAGCTCACTTTGCCACTTCCAACACAATTTAAGGACCATCCCAACCCCAAAGCTTCCCAGGAATGCCGTGCCTCGCACCTTCCACACTGCTGATGCGCTTGACCCTACCCACATTCCCACAGAACATCCAGCTCACTCTGCACTTCCAGGAGATTTTAAGGACCATCCCGACCCCAAAGCTTCCCATGGGGAATGCCGAGGCTCCCACCTTCCACACCATTGAAGCACTTGACCCTGTCACAGACTTTACCGGTGCCACCTCCATTCCCACATTCCCACCAGAACATCCAGCTCACTCTGCACTTCGAGCACATTTTAAGGACCATCCCAACCCCAAAGCTTCCCAGGAATGCCGAGGCTCCCACCTTCCACACCATTGAAGCACTTGACCCTGTCATGGACTTTACCAGTGCCACCGGAATGTCCAGCTCACTTCGCCACTTCCAACACATTTTAAGGACCACCCCAACCCCAAAGCTTCCCAGGAATGCCGTGCCTCGCACTTTCCATGCCGCTGATGCACTTGACCCTACCCACATTCCCCCAGAACATCCAGGCCACCCTGCACGCCGCGAGCAGCGCGCCCAGAGCAGCAGCGAGAGCAGCGCCAGCAGCGAGCACAGCACCAGCAGCGCCTTGGAGCTGAGGCGCGCCAGGCAGCGCATGGTGCTGCATTCCTGGCAAAAACAGGGAAAAACGGGGAAAAACGGGGTCAGGAGAGGGATTTGGGGTGGGAATGGTCAGGGTGACAGGGCCAGGCAGCGCATGGTGCTGCATTCCTGGCAAAAACAGGGAAAAATACAACAAAACGGGATCAGGAGAGGGATTTGGGGTGTTCTGGATGGGAATGGTCAGCGCATCAGGCAGCGCATGGTGCTGCATTCCTGGCAAAAACAGGGAAAAACACAACGACACAGGATCAGGAGAGGGATTTGGAGTGTTCTGGATGGGTATTATCAGCAAACAGTCCTGCATTCCTGGGAAAAACAACGGGGAAAAAAACGTGTATAAACGGGATCGGGAGAGGGATTTGGGGTGGGAATGATGGGAATTGTCAGCGCACAGTGCAGAATTCGGGATTTGGGGTGGGAATGGTCAGGGTGACAGGGCCAGGCAGCGCATGGTGCTGCATTCCTGGCAAAAACAGGGAAAAATACAACAAAACGGGATCAGGAGAGGGATTTGGGGTGTTCTGGATGGGAATGGTCAGCGCATGGTGTAGAATTCCTGGGAAAAACAGGGAAAAACGGGGATAAACGGGATCAGGACAGGGATTTGGGGTGTTCCTGGTGGGAATGGTCAGCAAACAGTCCTGCATTCCTGGGAAAAACAACAGGGAAAAACGGGATCAGGAGAGGGATTTGGGGTGTTCTGGATGGGAATGGCACCCAGGCCAGGCAGCGCATGGTGCTGCATTCCTGGCAAAAACAGGGAAAAACACAACGACACAGGATCAGGAGAGGGATTTGGAGTGTTCTGGATGGGTATTATCAGCAAACAGTCCTGCATTCCTGGGAAAAACAACGGGGAAAAAAACGTGTATAAACGGGATCGGGAGAGGGATTTGGGGTGGGAATGATGGGAATTGTCAGCGCACAGTGCAGAATTCCTGGGAAAACCAGGGAAAAACAGGGAAAAACGGGGTCAGGAGAGGGAATTGGGGTGTTCTGGATGGGAATGGTCAGTGCATGGTGCTGCATTCCTGGGAAAAACAATGGGGAAAAACGCGGAAAAACAGGATCAGGAGAGGGATTTGGGGTGTTCTGGATGGGAATTGTCAGCAAACAGTCCTGCATTCCTGGGAAAAACAACAGGGAAAAACGGGATCAGGAGAGGGATTTGGGATGTTCCTGATAGGAATGGTCAGCGCACGGTGCTGCATTCCTGGGAAAAATGGGGGAAAACACATAAAACTTGGATCACGACGGATTTGGGGTGGGAATGATCAGCATACAGTCCTGCATTCCTGGGAAAAACATGGATAGACGGGATCAGGAGAGGGATTTGGGGTGGTCCTGGTGGGAATGGTCAGGATGGGAGGGCCAGGCAGTGCATGGTGCTGCGTTCCTGGGAAAACAGAGAAAACCAGGGAAAACCAAGGAAAAACGTGGGAAAAAACCAGGATCAGGAGGGAGATTTGGGATGTTCCAGCTGGGAATGGCACTCATGGTGGAACAGTCCAGGAAAACCATGGAAAACGGGATCAGGACACGGATTTGGGATTTCCTGGATGGGAATGGTGCCCCTGTGCAGGGTCAGTGCCAACATTCCCAGGAATTAGGGAAAAGTGGGATCCAAGCTGGGATAGGAACTCCAGGGATCCCAGCAGAGCTGGGAATAAACGGGAATGGGGAAAAGCAGCTCCACTCTTACCTTAGGGAAAGGGAATTCTGGGAATTCTTGGAATTCTAACGCATCTCGAGCTTCCAGAGGCAAAAATGCCGGGATTCAGGGATTCCTCTTGGGATTCCTGCAGGGAAAATGGAGCTGGAGCAGCCCCAGATGGAGCTTTTTCTGAGAAATCCTGGTATTCCCAGGAAACTCCTCAGAGTTCCAGGGAAATCCTGACATTTCCAGGGAAATCCTGCTATTCCCAGGAAACTCCCCTGATTCCCAGGAAACGCTTCAGAATTCCAGGAAAATCCTCAGGGAATCCCAGGAATCCCAGCTCCCATATTGCCGAATCCCAGAGCCGCGATTCCCGCACTCCACGTCCCCCCAGCCCTTATCCCGTACTCCCGCACATTCCCAGCCCACATTCCCGCATTCCCAGCCCGGATTCCCGAATTCCCAAATTCCCATCGCTCCCATTCCCTCGTTCCAGGCTCTGGCAGCAACCCCGAGGCGGCCCGCGCACGCCCAGCCCGGGCAATCCCGCTGCCCTCCCTCCCTCCCGCTGCCGTGACCCCCGGCCCTCCCGCCATGCCCAGCATTCCCGTTATCCCGGGAATTCCCGGGAATCCCGGCCCGCTCCTCACCTGCGCCCGGGGCCTGGCGGGCGGCGGAACCCCCGCGCGGGGCAGCGGGGGGAGCACGGAGGGGCCGCGCCGGGGCCCCGCCCTCGCGCGCCGGGGGAGCGGCGGGAGCGGCCCCGCCCCGGCTTCCCGCGAGAGCGGCGGCCACCAATCAGAAGCGCGCCTTTAAGGGGCGGGGCTTCCGGGCGGAGCGTGCCGTTGATTGGCTGGTTGGGGCCCCGCCCACAGCGTGGTCACGTGGCGAGGCCGCGTGAGGCGGGAGCCGCCGGCTTTGATCGCGATAATTAACGGGGATTAATGAATAATTAATGAGTAATTAATGAATAACTGATGAGAGGAACCGGGAGAGCGGCGGGCTGGGCAGGGCGGCTCAGGGAGAGCGGGGGGGTGGGGCGGCTGCGCCAGGGGAGGTTTGGGAATGTTGGGAAAATTCCCACCTGGAAAATTCCCACCTGGAAAAGCTCCAGGCATGCAGGAGCTGCCAGGCAGGGCTGGAATCCCATCCCGGAGGGATTGAAACCCTTTGGATGTGGCACTTGGGACAGCGGCATGGTTGGAGGCCAGGATCTCCAAGGGCTTTTCCAAGAGGAGGAATTCCATGATTCCAAATTCCAGATCCTCCATCCCGAAAAACCACCCAGGTCGGGATAAACCCAACAGAGCCTGGATGAACGCGGTACAATCCCGACCCAACGTGAACCCCGGGAATTCTGCACCTTGCCCACCAGGAGCTGCTGCTTCGGAGGAGATCCCAGGCCTGGGAAAGGCTGGAAAATCAGGAATTCCAAGGGGAATTGTTACCCACAGCCTCGCCAGCTCCCGATTCCTGGGTTCCCTTGATTTACCAGGAAACCAATCTCAATCCAGCGCAGGTTCCACGTTGGAAGGAGTGGCGCCTCTCGGACACCGACTCCCATCCCAGTTTTTCCTTGGTTTTTCCAAGGAGCTGGAATGGCTTCCATGAACCCCAGCATTCCCATCGTTCCCTCAAGATCCAAAGGGAGCTTCCCCATCTTTTCCTGCTTTATTCCCCGGCTGCGAAGGAAGCGTTGCCCATCCCCCGCTGGCGCCCCAGCGGATCCCGGCTGGAATGCCGCGGGATGGGCTCCGCTCAGAAGTTTTCCTTGGAGAAGCGGAAGCCGAAGCTGCGGCAGTGCCGGCGGATGACCTTGGCCAGCCCCGCGGAGCCGCAGAAGAACACGCGCACCTTCCCGCGCCGCTCCGCCGCCACCTGCCCCAACACCTGCACGGAACGCGCCGGGATCGGGAACGCGCCGGGATCCGGGAATGCACCGGGATCGGGAACGCGCCGGGATCCGGGAACGCGCCGGGATCCGGGAAAACACCGGGATCGGGAACGCGCCGGGACCCGGAACGCGCCGGGATCGGGAACGCGCCGGGATCGGGAACACGCCGGGATCGGGAACACGCCGGGCCCTTCCATCCCTGCCCGCCCCATCCTCCCTTGGCCCCATTCCATCATCCCTGGGCTGGATGAGGCACTTGGAATGAGGTCATCTTTGGGGTCCTTCCAATCCAACCCTTTCCATGACTCCCTGATCCAATTCCTCAATTCCCTGATCCCTGAGCCAGATCAGAAGCTTGGAATGAGACCATCTTCCCATTCCCTGATTTTCTGATCGCATTCCATGATTCCCTGGTCCCATTCCATGACTCCACAATCTGACCCAGATCAGAGGCTTGGAGTGAGATCATCTTCCCATTCCCTCCCAACCCATTCCCTGATTCTCTGATCCCATTCCCCAATTCTCTGATCCCATTCCATTATTCCATTCCCCAATTCCCTGATCCCATTCCGTGACTCCATGATCCCTGACCGAGATCAGAAGCTTGGAATGAGGTCATCTTCCCATTCCCTTCCAACTCATTCCCTGATTCTCTGGTCCCATTCCATGATTCCATGATCCCATTCCATGATTCTCTGATTCCATGATTCTCTGATCCCATTCCCCGATCCCCTGATCCCATTCCCCAGTTCTCTGACCCTGTTCCACAATCCCATTCCCCAATTCCCTGATTCTCTGATCCCATTCCCAGGTTCTCTGATCCTGTTCCATGATCCCATTCCCCGATTCCCTGCTCCCTTCCTGATCCCATTCCGTGACTCCATGATCCCTGACCGAGATCAGAAGCTTGGAATGAGGTCATCTTCCCATTCCCTCCCAAGCCATTCCCTGATTCTCTGATCCTATTCCATGATTCCATGATCCCATTCCATGATTCCATTCCATGATTCTCTGATCCCATTCCCCGATCCCCTGATCCCATTCCCCAGTTCTCTGACCCTGTTCCACAATCCCATTCCCCAATTCCCTGATTCTCTGATCCCATTCCCAGGTTCTCTGATCCTGTTCCATGATCCCATTCCCCGATTCCCTGCTCCCTTGGCGCTGCTGACCCTCTCCACCCGCAGCATTCCCGTTCCCTGGATGCCGGCTCCCTGACCTTGGCCCAGTCGGGGCGGCCGGGCCGGGTGCGGCTGCGGAGCCCGGAGATGGAATCCCGCTGCTCCCGGGCCGCCAGCAGGTCCAGGGCCAGCTGCAGCCCCAGCGCCTTCACGTCGCCCGTGCCCAGCGCCGACGTCACGTACAGGTGCAGCTCCAGGAACTTCCCTGGAGATGCCAGGGATTCCAGCTGCCCGCCGGGATCCAGGGGTTTTCCCGGGAATGACCTGGGTGCTCCCGCTCACCTCCCGGCTCCAGCTCCGCCTGCTCCGTCTCCAGCTGGGCCAGGAGCCCCAGGAACCACTGCAGGTGCTGCTGGTCCTGCATGATCCAGATGAAATCCACCTGGCAGGGCGGGACAGCCTCGGCTTGGGATCTCCCTGGATCCCGGCACCAGATCCTGGTACCAGATCCCAGCACCAGATCCAGCCCCCATTCCCAAAGCTCCCGGAGCTGAGGGATGCTCCCGAGCTCCCCAGACCCTGCAGCCCCATCCCAGGCCAAGCCTGGATCCCACATCCCCTCCTGCTCCCGTTCCCTTTCCCACCTTCCGGAGCGTCATCTCCTCATCCCGCCGTTCCTCGCTCCAGGAGAAATGGCAGCTGGGGCAGCTCTGCTTCCGCCGCCGGTACCTGAGTGGGGCAGCGGCACTTCCTGCTCATTCCTGCTCATTCCTGCCCCTTCTTTCCCATTCCTGCTCCTTCGTGTCCATTCCTGCTCCCTCCTTCCCATTCCTGCTCATTCCTGTCCATTCCTGCTCCTTCTTTCCCATTCCTGCTCCTTCCTTCCCATTTCTTCCCATTCCTGCTCCTTCCTTCCCATTCCTGCCCATTCCTGCTCCCTCCTTCCCATTCCTGCCCATTTCTTCCCATTTCTTCCCATTCCTGCTCCCTCCTTCCCATTCCTGCTCATTCCTCCTCCCTCTTCCTTCTCCTTCCTGCCTTGTCCTGTTCCATCCTTCCCATTCCTGCTCCTTCCCATCCCTTTCTACCTTTTCCTGCTCCTTCCTTCCCCTTCTTGCCCATTCCTGCATTCTCCTTCCTTTTCCTGCTCCTTCCTGCCCATTCCCATCCCTCCCTTGGCATGGCAGGCTCCATGGCCAAGCTCCTCCAGCTCCCTTCCCGCAGCCCAAATTCCCAAGGGAAATCCTGGCCCCGAGGGAGGCCCCACCCGCGGCCATGGGAATGAATCCCCGGGATGGAGGACAGCTCCCCCCGGGCATCCATCCCGGCTCCCTGGGACATTCCCGGGCTCGGGGGACGCACCGGATCATGATGCTCTGCAGGATGGAGGCCAAGGGCGTGATCCCGATGCCGGCTCCGATGAGGACGGCGTGCTCCGAGCTGAAGATCCGCCGGCTCGGCGTTCCGTAGGGACCGTCCAGGAAGCACTGGGAGAGATCAGGCTCAGGGACGGATCCAGCCGTTCCAGGGGGAGGAGAAGGGCACAAAGGGGATCCTGGGATTTGGGATCTTCCCGGGGTTTTGTGGGAGCAAGGAATGGGTGGGAAGGACTGGAGTTTTTCAGCAGGGCAGGGTTTGGATCAGCCCCAGGTGGGATCGTCCATGCACAGGGATGGAGCAGCTGGGAATGGGGATGGGTGGTGGGAATGAGGATGGGATGGACAGGAACAGGGATGGGATGGTGGGAATGCTGCTCCCAGCGCATTTCCCGGGATCCAGGAAAGGCAGGAGCATCCTCACCTTGACGCTGCAGCTCCGCTGTGTCTCCCCGGGCCCAGCGCCCTGCAGGAGAGGGGAGCAGTGACCACCCCCATTCCCAAGCACTCCCGAAATTCCCTGGATTTGGACATTTTCCCACACGCAATTCCAGCTGCCAATGCCACCATAATATCCAAGGAATTTCTTTCCGAAGAGGAGCTTTTTAAGGAGCTTTATCCCATTTGGGATCCAGGCCCTGGCTCACCCCCTGCTCCGGGTCCTTTCCTGGGAAAGCAGCTCCAGAGGCTTGGAATGCCGTCAGCTCCACGGCTCCGTCCCCTCCAGATGCCACGGATCCTTCCTGGGAACAAAGGCTGGGATCAGCGCTCCAGGGATCTGCTGGGCCTCAGCAGGGTCACAGCAATTCCCATTCCACGGAGCACAAAATCCCACCAATCCCAAATCCCACCATCCCATCCATCCATCCCAAATCCCGTTCCATGGAGCACAAAATCCCACCAATCCCAAATCCCACCATCCCATCCATCCATCCCAAATCCCGTTCCATGGAGCACAAATTCCCATTCCATAGGACACAAGTCCTTCAAGGCTGGACAAGCAGGGAATGTTCATCCCAAGGAACCATCCAGCTGGGATGATCCCGTGGGATCCACTCCACATCCATGTGCGCCCATCCCCTTGCTCTGATCCCAATCCCACAATCCCACCTGTTCCCAGTGCCGGCTCCTCCGCTCCCTCCAGCTTTTCCTGGGCAGGTTTGGCTCCGGGCCGTGCAATTCCAGCTGCTGGAAGTACTCGTAGAGCTTGGTGGTCCATTGGCCCCGCGCCCGGATGTGCAGCCACAGGGTTTCTGTGGGATCAACCCCAAAATCCTGGAATTCTCTGGACTGGGAAGAACTTCAAACCCAACTCATCCCCTGGAACTGCCTCCCATAGCCCGGCTCGCTCCAAGCCCCATCCCAGCTGGAAAAACATCACCGTGGGCATGGAAAACAGGTCCTGGGGGTGGGAATGGATCCCAGGGATGGGAAATGATCCCAGGGGTGGGATAAGAGATCCTGGGGATGGAAAACAGATCTCAGGGATGGAAAACATTCCAGGGATGGGAAACAGATCTTAGGAGTGGCTCACAGATCTTGGGGATGAAAAACAGATCCCAAGGGTGGGAAACAGATCCTGGGGATGGAAAACCGATTCTGGGGTTGGGAACAGATCCTGGGGGTGGGAAACGTTCCAGGGGAATTTTCGGGGCGCACGAGGAACCTGGCTGCTCCGGAGCGCTGCTGATGGAGAAGGGGTGCCACTCGTAGGCGGCGATGGCCGGGATGTTCAGGTAGACGTAATCCCCCGGCTGGAAGCGGAAGGATTTCGGCCTCTGGATCACCAGGTGGGTCACCTGCAGGAGAACGGGAGCAGGAAAACTGGGAATCTCCAAAGGATGTCTCCTGCTGGTTTCCGTGGAGCTGGAATTCCGGGTTCTGCCTGCCATCGGGTTTGTTCCCCGTTCCCTGCCCAGTCTGGGTTGCACAAAATCCCAGTTCGGACTGGGCTCAAACTGCAGGATGTGGGGAAAAAACTCTGAGTTTCCAGGAGTTTTTGTTCTGCCCTGGTTGTTCCATGAATTTTCATTAAAAAAAAATAAGGAAAAAGGCTTGGAAATAAAGGAATTCTTTTGGCCTCCCACTGCCACCTCCAGCTTTTCCGTGTTATTTTGTTCCTTCATTCCCAGAGTGCCAGGAGGAGGTGGGATGGTGGGATTTGGGATGGATGGATGGATGGGTCGGATTTGGGATGTGGGATGTTTGGGATTTGGGGTGTTTGGGATGTGGGATATTTGAGATTTGGGGTTTATTCCCACCTTGGAGGGCAGCAGCTTGGCCTCCAGGATGTGCAGATCCCCCGCCCAGCGCCACGCCCAGCCCAGAACCTTCTCCAGCACAAACAGGGAGCCGGGAATCAGGAACCACTTCCAGAAGTGGGGAGCGTGCAGGAGCAGCAGGATCCACACGGGGATGTAGGAGAGGTGACTCCAGTAAAAAACCTGGCAATGGGAGTGGGGATGGGAATGGGAACGGGAGTGGGAAGTGCTGGACCCACATGGTGCTTCCGAGTGGGGCTGTCTGGGTATCCCAGTGGGAAAAGGCAGCCCAAGGGAATCCTGGAATCTCTGGGATTGGGGAGAAGGAAAGGACTTTAACCCCATCCAGTTCCAATCCCAACACCTCCCACTATCCCCGCCTGCTTCAGGGACACTCCCAGGGATCCAGGGGCACCCACAGCTTCCCTGGGAATTCCATCCCAATATCCCTGTGGGAAACCATTCCCTGGGTCCCGTGGAGAAGAAAATCCCAGAAACCCCAAACTGCGAGTGTGGCGTGCCCAGGGCTCCCGGGGTCCCACGGGCCAGCACCAGGATGGGCACCCGGGGGTGACCCCTTCCCACCACGGCACCCCCGCCATTCCAGCCGGGAATTCCCATGGGATCACCTCGAAGTGGCCGCCGCGCCGCACGCAGGGGCTGGAGCAGGCCAGCATGGCCAGGAGCAGCGCCAGCAGCGCCAGCCCGCTCTGCGGGGCAGTGCCACCAACGCCACCGGCGCCCGGCCGCGCCCGCTCGCCCAGCGCCGCCAGCCCTGGGGACACGGGCACAGCTCAGCACCGGGAGTGCCAGGGTGCGGGGCGCCGGGATTTGGGAATACCGGGGTTGGGATCCCGCTCAGGACCTCGGCTGTCCGGCGGGAGCCGCTAGAGGGGGATCACAGCCCGCAGCTGCCCTCCGTGCCCTGCCCGGCCCATGGCCCCTGCTCGGCCACTGTCCCTGTCCCCGCCCGTGCCCTCGCAGCACCCCCGGCACGGCCACCCCTCCTCCAGGGCATCCCCCCCTCCCTGGGACACGGACACCCCTCCCATGGGAGCCCGGGACATGATCCCCCATCCCTGGGCTCCCTGTCCCACTGGGCCGTCTGTGCCAGGTGTGTCCCCGTGTCCCCTGTCACTGACCCCCTGTGCCCGGTGTGTCCCCTGTCACTGACCCCCTGTGCCAGGTGTGTCCCCTGTCACTGACCCCCTGTGCCAGGTGTGTCCCCATGTCCCCTGTCACTGACCCCCTGTGCCAGGTGTGTCCCCATGTCCCCTGTCACTGACCCCCTGTGCCAGGTGTGGTCCCCTGTCACTGACCCCCTGTGCCAGGTGTGCCCCCGTGTCCCCTGTCACTGACCCGCGTGTGCCAGGTTTGTCCCCTGTCACTGACCCCACTGTGCCAGGTGTGCCCCCGTGTCCCCTGTCACTGACCCGCGTGTGCCAGGTGTGCCCCCGCGTGCGCGGTCCCCAGGGCCAGCACCAGGTGTCCCACGCGCTCGTGGCCCCGCACGTGCAGCTCCAGCGGGAACAGCTCCGCCAGCGGCGAGGAGCGCAGCCAGGTCAGAGAGCGCCGCAGCATCAGCGCCTGGCGACAGCGGCGACACCGGGGACAGGGGCAGGGGACAGGGCAAAGAGGGGACAGGGGCAGGAGACAGGGACGGAGGTGAGAGCAGGGACAGGGCAAAAAGGGGACAGGGGCAGGGGACAGGGACGGAGGTGAACAGGGCAGAGAGGGGACACCGGGGACAGGGGCAAAGAGGGGACAGGGCAAAGAGGGGACAGGGACAGGAGACAGGGACGGAGGTGAGAGCAGGGACAGGGCAAAGAGGGGACAGCGGCAGGGGACAGGGACGGAGGTGAGAGCAGGGGCGAGGGTCGGGGACAGCGATGGGGACAGGGGACAGGGACGAGCCGTGGGCGAGGGGAGGGGCACCCGGAGATCCCGGGGGGCAAATGGAAATGGGAGGCGCTGGGAAATTCCAGAGGGAATGGGAAATGCTGGGGACAATGGGAAATTCCAGAGGGAACGGGAGATGTTGGGGGACCATGGAAAACGCCGGGGACAACAGGAACCTTTGGGCCAGCGTCCCTCCTGGCTACCCCAGGACCCTCCCGGCCTTCCCGGCTCCCTCCCGTCCGTGTCCCCCCGGTGTCCCCGGTGTCCGGGGCACTCACGGCCAGCAGGGCGCAGTTGAGGTTGAGGCTCTGCCCGCAGCCCCGGGCCAGCGCCAGGGCGGGGCCGCGCTCCCGGTGCCACAGAGCGCCCAGGGCGAGCAGCAGCGCCGAGGTGGCGAGCCCCGGGAGCAGCAGCCCATCCCGGCCCGCTGGTCCCCGCGGGATTCCCGGGAGCAGCAGCACAGCCAGGGCTCAGCAGGACTGGCACTGGGGGGCTTCAGCCAGCTGGCAGCACTGGGAAAATGGGAATTGGGGTTTGGATGGGAATTTGGGGGTGTTTGGATGGGGAGCAGGGAGCTGGAGAAGTACCCAGCGCAGGGTGGCAGCATCCCTGCATCCATCCCAAAATCCAAACGCTGTCCCATCCCAAACCATCCCTGATCCTAACCCTGCACCCATCCCAAACCCATCCCAACCCATCCGTGATCCAATCCCAAACCTCTCCAGCTGCTCCCAGCCCCACTGCGGGCTCCCCATGGAATCCTGTCCCAGAAATCCCGGAGTTCCCCTCCCCACCTGATGCTCAGGTTCTCCAGGAGTTCCGGGAACGCCTCCAGCTGCTCCTGGAGCTCCGGGAAGGTGATGGAGCCGCTGTGATCCCGGTCCAGGGCCTGGAGCAGGGCCTGGCTCAGGGCCCCGAGGCGCTCCTCGGGAAGGGCCAGGGAGCTCTCCCGGAGACAGCCCCGGAGCACCACCCGCAGCTCCTCGGCGTCGATGGAGCCGCTCCCTGGAAACCGGGAGAATCCCGAAATTCCACAGCCCCATGGAGTCACCTCCATCCCAATATCCCACAGCCCCATAGAGTCGGCTCCATCCCGATATCCCACAGCCCTACGGAGTCACCTCCATCCTGCTATCCCACAGCCCTACGGAGTCACCTCCATCCTGCTATCCCACAGCCCTATATGGAGTCAGCTCCATCCCAATATCCCACAGCCCTACGGAGTCAGCTCCATCCCGATATTCTAGTTCTACGGAGTCACCTCCATCCTGCTATCCCACAGCCCTACGGAGTCACCTCCATCCCAAAATTCCACAGCCCCATGGAGTCACCTCCATCCCAATTTTCCAGTCCTAATCCAGGAATTTTCCTTGCAGGGAGGAAAATCCTGGCTGGGTCAGGATCTGCTCCCTGGAGAATCAGCTTGATCCCAACATCCCACAGTCCTATGGAGTCCATCCCGATATCCCACAGTGCTACAGATTTTCCAGTGCAAAATCCTGGATGGGTCAGGATCTGCTCCCAGGAACAAGCGATGGGATAATGGGAATGGCATCCAGGGGAGGCTGAGGTTGGATATTTGGGAATATTCCTTCATGGAAAGGGAGGCATCGGAAGGGGGTTGGGGATGGGAACAGTTGGATTCGATCTCTGAGGACTTTTCCGACCCTAACAATCCCACAATTTCAGGAAAGTGGGATGGGGAGCTGGGATTGGAGCTGAGCAGATCCCGCTCTCCCCGGCTGATGGGAAATCCTGGGAAATCCTCAGGTGTGACCGATGTGATCCTTGTCTTCCTGCTGGAATTTTCCCATTCCCACATGGAACGAGGGCAGCAGCCTCAGCCCAGCCAAAGCCGGATGCTCAGAGAAGACCAAATCCCAAATTTATCCCAAAAAACCCCGACGAATCCCGCTTTCCTCCTCTCACCATCCACATCGTACACCTGGAAGAGGAAGCGGAGCTTTTCCGTGGAATTCCCGCGGAGCAGCCGGCGCAGGGATCCCAGCAGCTCCTCCCGGCTCAGGGAGCCGCTCCCGTCGGAATCGAAGAGCGCGAAAAACCTCTCAGCAAAGAAGGACTGCGGGAAAAGCGGGAATGTGCCCCTGGAGCAGGGAATGTTCCCGTGGAGCAGGGAATGGGGAATGGATCAGGGAATGGGGAATGTTCCCGTGGAGCAGGGAATGTGCCCGTGGAGCAGGGAATGGGGAATGTTCCTGTGGAGCAGGGAATGTTCCAATGGATCAGGGAATGTTCCCACAGAGCAGGGAATGGGGAATGTTCCCGTGGAGCAGGGAATGTGCCCGTGGAGCAGGGAATGGGGAATGTTCCTGTGGAGCAGGGAATGTTCCAATGGATCAGAGAATGTTGCTGTGGAGCAGGGAATTCCCACTGATCTCCCCCCTCTTTCTCAGGGATCCCGTTCCCTCTTCCCACGGATCCCATTCCCTCTTCCCACGGATCCCTGACCTCCTTGACCTGCAGGGCGGATTTGAACTCTTCCAGGCTGATTTCCTTCTCCTTCCCAGCGACATTCCCGAATTTTTTGCTCACCCAGCGCAGCCACTCCGCGTCCGCCGCCGCTCCCATGGTTCCGGAGCGATCCCTAAATCCCAACAATCCCTTTTTGGGATCTCCCAGCCTCGTTCCAGAGAGCTCCCAGCCTGGAGCATCCCAAAGTTGGATCTGCAGGGATCAGCTGCATTCCATGGAATCCCAGATTTCCATGGAGCTACTGAGCCCAGTTCCTGGGATAATCATGGGGCCCATGGGAGCATCCCTGGGGATTCCGTTTTCCCAGAAAACCTGAGCAGGGATCATCTCCCATTCCCTCCTTCCCCAGCCCTCCAAAATTCCTCCAATCCCCCACGCTCCATGAAATCCATCAGCACTTCCCAGCATCCCAGATTTCCCCAGGATCCAAAGGAAATTCCATCTTCCAGGAGCCTTTTCCCATCTCCAGACTCCCCTGTTCACCTCCAACAATCTGGGGAGACTCCAAAGGGAAATCCCGGAAAAGCCGGCAGTGTTGCCGAGGAGAGGGATGGATCCCAAATCCCAAATCCCTGCTCCCGCCTCGTTCCCGTTATCCCTCCCTTCCCAAATCCCGCCCAGCTCCGCGGCCCGTCCCCATCCCGCTTTTCCCAGCTGTTGTTTATCCCTTTGCCAGTCCCTGCACTGGACATTCCCTGTCCCATCCATCCCTGGGGAATTGTGCTCCTGCCAAATCCATCTGGAGCCGCCATTGACGGGATCCTCTCGGGAATTCCGGCCCGTCAGGAGCACGCCGGGAATGTCTCCTGCAGCTCCATCCTTCCATCCCCTCCCGCCCGGGCTGCCATGGGGACGTCAGGAGCAGATCCAGGTGCAAACGTTCCCCATTCCCACATTCCAGAGGCAGCCGAGCCCCGGCTCCCACCTGGAATAACCGCCAGGAGCTGCTGGAGCACGGAACTGATCCCAAAAAATTCCCAACACCCCCAGGATCTCAGGAGAGGGCTGGATTTAATCCAGTTCATCCTATCCCAAATCCAGCCCTGTCCCATCCCAAATCCAGCTTTTCCCCCATCCCAAATCCAGCCTTTTCCCAGGATCTCCATGCCTTTCTCCCGGTATTTCTGGGATCCCAAAGGTTTTTCCCGGGATGGAGCTGTTCCCTCCTTTTCCCACTGAGTTTCCAGCTCTTTGTGCCATATCCAGGTGCATCCATAGGGAGAAACTGGGAATTCTCCTGCTCCATGTGGGATTTGGGGCTCCAAGGAATGGGAATTCCAGGTGGGAATGCTGGGAATGGACCTGCAGCAATGGGAGCTCCATTCCCAATTTTCCCTCGGATTCCATGGGATTTGCTCACCCTGAGGAATCCAATCCCTGTTTTTCCCACATTTTCCCTGGACTCCCTGATTCTCCAAGGAATTTAATCCCCTTCATTCCTGTTTTTTCCAGGAATCACACTCCATCCCCAAGTTTTCCTTGGATTCCAAAGGATTTGCTCATCCTGAGGACTTCAATCCCAGTTTTTCACAGGAAACTTCCCCCAATTCCCAACTTTTCCTTGGATTCTACTTCAAATTTATTCAATTTTTCCATGTTTTTCACCCATCCTCCCTAAATTCTGAAGGATTATCCCAGAATTCCTTGGACTTTTAACCCTGGATTTTTGGGGCATTTTACCAAATTCTCCCATTAATCCAGGCCAGTGAAGCAGGAAACTCCTGGGATATTCCATCAGAAAAATCAGGAACACTGCAATTATCCCACACATTTTTCAACAAAACAGAAAATAAATTTAATAATAATATTTCAAAAATGGGAATAACATTTTCCAACTAATTTTAGGGAATTCTGGAGCCATCCCAGAGTTTTCTTCCTCATTTTTCACCTTCAAATCAGCTTTTCATCATTTTTTGTCAGATTTCCCCACTTTTTTCCCTGGAATGCTGCAAAAATTCTGATTTTAAGGGGTTGAACCACAAATTGGAAATCCTTGGGGGATCCCATGGAATTCCTGGATCCCAGGGATTTGTTTGATCCCAAAGTTCCCCAGCTGGGAATGCTGAGGGTGGGTATTTGGGGAATTCTGGGAATTTTTCCATTCCCAGCTGTGCAGAGCTGGGAGTTGTTCCCGAGAAAAAGAAGGAATTCTTTGTGTGGGAAAACAAAGGGACATTCAAGGGATGAACAAACAATTCCCAGGGATTTTCCACGGGAATTCACCCCAGGAATGCGGGGCAGGAACTGGAGGATTCCTCTGGAATTTGGGAGGGAATCCTGGGAAAAGAAAGGGAAAAACTGCAATTTCCTGTGGGGAAAAAACAAGGGAAAATCCCACAAATTTCATTAAAAATTCCTGCTAAAAACCAACCCCAAAAATTCAAAGTTCCCAGGAAAATAAACAAGGAAAAATCCCAAAAATTCCTGGTAAAAATAAATCCCATCAATTCAAAGTTCCTGTTAAAATGGCCAAGGAAAAAACCTCAAATTCCTGCAAAAAAAAAATCCCAATCCCACACATTCAAAATTCCTCTTAAACAAGGAAAAATGCCCCAAACTGAAAATTCCTGGTTAAAAAGGAGGAGGAAAAATTCCACAAATTCAGAATTCCTGGTAAAAATGGACAGGACAAATTCCATTCAAAATTCCCCTTAAAAACATATCCAAATAATTTCAAAGTTCATGTCAAAATAAACAAGGAAAAATCCCAGGAATTCCATTAAAAATTCCTGGTAAAAAACAAATCCCACAAACTCAAAATCCCTCTTAAAAATAACCAGGAAAAATCCCACAAATTCCTGTTAAAAGCAAGGAAAAAAACTCAAATTCCTGCTAAAACCCAATCCCATAAATTCCAAATTCCTGATAAAAACAAACAAGGAAAAAATCCCAACAATTCCCATTAAAAACCAACCCCACGGATTCAAAATTCCTATAAAAACAAAGCAGGACAAAAACCACCAGGAATGAAAAAAAATCACAGAAGGAAAGTTAAATATGGAAAAATAACCCTTCAGATTTATTCCCAATATTACAATTCCCATTTTTTTTAAATTCCCAAACTCTCGGAATACAAACACTGACAGGAGCAGCTTTAAACATGGAATGTTGGCTTGGAACTGGGAATAAATTCCCTCAATAACGACAGAAAATGGAATTTTCTGCACCTTCAAACAATCAAAATCCGCATTTTTCCTTGGAAAAAAAAACAAAGGAAAAAGCAGCTCTGGACTCCCAGAAATTCCTTTGAAATCCCAGCTCGTCCCAGCAATCCTTTTTCCAGGAGAAAAGTCCTTTTCCAGAGGTTCTCAGCAGCAGCAGGAGCAGAAATTCCATGAGAAGTTCCCGAAGATTCAGCCCAGGAGCCACCTCTGGACACACCTGGAAAGGAGAAGTTTAAACAGAGCTCAAATCAAATTCTGCCTCATTCCCAAATCCCAAACATTCTGAAAAGTTTGGAATATTCATTCCAGTCAAAGACTTCTCAGCCAATCCCAAACTTCCATCCTAATCCCCTTAAACATCCCAAAAAAAGGAACATTTTGCAGTTTTCTTTTGCTGAAATTGGAATTTTTACCTGGAGCTGGATCCAGCTTTTCCCGTCCCCTTCCCAACATAATTCCTGCTGGTTTTATCCATATTCCTGGAATTTTTCCATGCTCACAGCTGAGACTTCATCTCCATCCTGACCTGTAAAATACATGGATAAAATCAAGTTTCCCAAGGATTTTCAGCATTCCCTTGATGCTTTCCAACAGCACTTTGGGATTTTCCAGCCCTGTGTTTTCCAGGAAAAGCAGGAAGGGATGAACAGGGATTTTAGAAGGAATCAAAGCACTTTTTACCTGAGTTCTGCTCCGGCTGATGGGAACAGTTTGGAAATCCCAAATCCTTGGAAAAGAGCAGCTCTGGGCCTGGATCTCATCCTGCAGCACCTGGAAAGGGATCCGGGAGCAGGGAATGGTTTGGGATGGGAAGGAGCTCCAAGCTCATCCCATTCCACAGGCTGGGATCATTCCCACCATCCCAGGCTGCTCCACAGCCACCCTGACATCCCAGGGATGGAGCCCTGGGAATTCCAGCCCCGCCAGGAATCCCTTCCCAACATCCCACCCCCATCTCCCCCTTCCCAGTCTGAAGCCATTCCCTGTGTCCTGTTCCTTGTCCCACTCCCTCTCCAGGAGCTCCTTTAGGCCCTGGGAAAGGCTCTGAGGATTCCTGGATCCTTCCCTTCTCCAGCATTCTCATTCTCGAGAAGCCCCATTCCGCTGTTCCTGGAATATCCCGTTTTCCTTCAAATTTCCTGGGATTTGGCTTGGAAAGGACCTGCAACCCATCCAGTTCCAACCCCAACAGCTTCCCCTGTCCCAGGCTGCCCCAGCCTGCCTTGGGACATTCCAGGGACGGAGCAGCCACAGCTTCTCTGGAAGCTCCATCCCAGACAGGAATTCTTTCCCAATATCCCACCTCGCTCTGCTCTCATCCAGCCTGAATCCATCCCCCTTATCCTGGCACTCCAAGGAAAAAAACTGGCACTCCAAGGAAAAAACCCCATCCCATCTTTCCTGGGAATCGAAGGATTCCCGTCCTTGGCCCTGCTCCACCTCAGCACAGCCGGGCCCCGCTGTCCCTCAGGGACCTTCCCGGGGGCTCCCCCTTCCCTCCCCTTCCCTTCCCTTCCCTTCCCTTCCCTTCCCTTCCCTTCCCTTCCCGTCCCTTCCCTTCCCCGCCCTCGCTCCGCCCGCCGCTCGCGCTCCGCCCGCCCCCCGCCGCCGGGGCCCGCGCCATTGCCCGCGCCATTCCCGTGCCTCGCTCCGCACCTTTCCCTCCCTCCTGGCTGCGCGCCCCTGGCCGGGCGGCTCCGGTTTGGCCGCCGCTCCCCGCCCCGGCGCCTCCCCCAGGCTCGGGCGGGCGCAGGGCGCAGCGCGCACCGTGCCCGGCGCGGCGGAGCCGCGGCCGCTCCGTCCCCATCAGGCGGCAGCGCGGAATGAGCCTGGGCTCGGCGCCGGGCTGTCCCCCTGCCCGGCACTGCCGCTCCCCCATTGGCTTCCGCCGCGCCTCGCGCCGCTGATTGGCCGAGACGCGGCAGCGGCGCGCTCCGATTGGCCGCTCGGGCCGTCCGTCCCGGCGGAGCCCCCGGAGCGCCCGCCCCCGCGGTTATCAGGTTAGTGCGCGCCGCGGTGCTGCGCTCGGGCTTCCGAGCGGCGCTGGGCGAGCCCGAGTCCCTCCGCGCCCCGCGATCGGGGGGCTCTGCACGGGGTCACTGCGCCAGCCGAGCCGCGCACCCTCCGCGCCTCCCGCCAGCCACGGACATGGACATGAAGAAAAGGATCCACTTAGAGCTGCGGAACAGGACGCCCTCAGATGTAAGCAATGCAATGCCAAAAAAAAAAAAAAAAAAAATTAATGCTAATAACGCTAATGATGAGAATAATAAAAAGGCATCCCACGGTTAATTTTTTTTTTTTTTTTTTTTTTTGGCGGGGTGGAGCGTGCCAGGTGTTGGCGGGGCCGCTGCTGCCCTTGAGGTGCCTACCTGTGTGTGTGGGGGGCTGTGCCCCCCGCTTTGGGGGGCGCGGGGCGCTCCGGGGACGCTCGGGGGCTCCCCGGGGCTGCTCCTGCCCGTGCCGGGCTGCGATGCCTCGGAGAGGGGCTGGCCGTGCATTAAATAAAAAATAAGTTGCTCGCTGCTCTCTCTCTCGGCGTGTTTAGTTGGCAAATATTTGTGCAGGGTGCTGGGCTAGGGAGAGGCAGGCAGGGACTGCGAGTGAGTTGCGAATGGTTTAGTTTAAAGTGCGTCTTCATTTCTTTGCAGTGATCAGGCAAGAGAGACTGGGGAGCCATATTTGTAACTTTGTAGTCCTCATGAACGCGCCCTTTCTCTCTCTCTCTCTCTCCCTCTCTCCAGATGCTGAGAAGATAAAAGGAAAGAATTTTGAAACCGACGCTTAGCGTTGGTTGGGTTTGCTTTGGGCTTTTTTTTTTCTCCTGTTGTTGTTTTTTTTTAATTATTATTATTATTATTTTGCGAGCAATGGGGCATCGCCGCCGGTAGCGCGAGCGTTGAATAATAATCCTAATAATCATAAGAATAATAAAAAATAATATTGGAAGAAATGAACGCACTCTCCACCCCCTCCATCCCCACACACGCACAAAAAGGCTGGATGTGTGTGCGTGTTTTTCCTTCTTCCCCCTTTTCCCCCCCTTCCTTCCCCCGGGGCCGGACTTCAGGTTGTTGTTCCGCGTCTGGCGGAATAAACGGGGGACGGCGAAAAACTTTGGCAGGACAAAAAAAAAAACAAAAAAAAAAAAACAAAAACCCAACCAAAAAACCAAAAACCCGACAAACCCCCAAAACAAGCAAGAAAATAACGGGGGGAGGGGGAAGGAAAGGAGAGGAAAAATAGGAAAACCACCCCAAAAAGAGTGGGCGGGAGGCGGCCGGGGGCAGGCGGGGCGCGAACCCGCGGCGGGGAAGCCCCTTCCCCTCATCCCCCCCGCCCCGCCGGGCCCTCGGCGCTGCCCGGGGAGGCTTCACCGAGCCCCGGCCCCGCCGCGTCCCCCGAGCCGCCGGAGGCTGCGGGAAGGGGAGAGCGGGGGGCGAACGTACCTCAGCGGGCAGCGCCCGGGGCAGCGCGGCGGGACGCGGCGGCCGAACCGAGCGCGGTGTGCTCCGGGGAGCGGGGGGGGACAAAGGCGGGCGCGGGGCGGCGGAAGCTGCGCTTTAAAGTTTAAAAACTCCTGGGCGAGCAGGAGGAGGAAGAGGAGGAGGACGGCGAGAGGAGCGGGAGGGGGTGGGGGACGACTCGACGGCAAACCCCGCGGTACAGCCGCCATGGCCGGGGGGCTCCGTGAGGCGACCGCAGCGCAACTAGGACGCGGCGCCATGTTCTGTGCTGCCCCCCCGCCTTCCCCTCACGGCCGCCGCCTCCTCCTCCTCCTCCCGCCGCCGCCGCCGCTGCCTCGGCCGCGGGCGGCCCCGCGGGGCCGTGAGGGAGCCCCGCTGGCGCCGGGGCTGAGGCGCTGCGGAGGCTGCGGCGGGGCCCTCCCGACATGACGGGCAGCGCTGCCATTTTGTCGCCGGCCGCGGGGCGGGAGGAGATTCGTGAGGGCCGCGTTGGGATTAAAAAAAAAAAAATTAAAAAAAAAAAAAAGCTTTAGAAAAATTGGTTTTTACTGACTATGTGGGACACCGGGAGGTCCGAATGAGGCCGGGGGAGCACCGGGAGGAGCCCCGCGGTTCCCCCCGGTGAGCAGCGCGGAGCGGGGAATCCGCCTCCTTCCTGGGCAGGGCCCTGTGGGGAGGCAGCGTTGGGTTTGGGAAGTGTTTTGCGCCTTTTCATCCTGTTTCTTCTTATTTCCCCCTGATTTTTTTCATTATTTCCCCCCCTATTTTTAAAATAGTTTTCTATTTTTTGCTCATTTTTGCCCCCATTTCGCCTCACCACCCTCATCGCTGGGAGTTTCTTCCCCATTTTAAACGATGTTTAGAACCAGCCTCCAAAGGGATAAACTCAATTTTCCCCTCTTTTCCGTGCTCGCATTTTGCGTTGTTTCCGCTCGCTTTCGTCTCACGCCAAAAAAAGTTGGGAAAACTCGGAGCTGGAGGGAGTTCCCCGCTCCTCGGGGCTGGGAATGGGCAGCAGGGAGCTGGAAAATCAGGATCATTTCACCTTTCACCGCTTGGTTTTCCTTGGAATTTTCAGGGAATTTGGTGCCTTGATCCCCCCAGAGTGTTCTAAATCCAGTTTTTTAGGCAGAGAGCTGAAAATTCCAGTTGGGAATGTTGTTGTGTTCTTAGCTGTGTACACGTGTTTTTCAGGGAATGAAGTTTGTGGGTTGAATTCTGTTCCCTTAAAATATTAAAGGAAAGTCCTGCTAATTCCACCCTCTGGAATTGGGATTTGGCAGGAATATGGATGGCCAAGTCATTTATTCCTGGATTTTAGGAAGTTTTGGGTAGGCAGGATGAGTTTGGGAGTTGTTTCCCTTAATTTTGAGAGTTTGTCATTATTATTTCCCAATTTTATGTGGAATATCAAGAAATCCTGGGAAAATCCCCCTGAGTTTTGGGAATCTCCTTGAATTCAGTGCTGCTTTTTGATTTAAATTATCCTGAAATCAGAATTAAATCTTTGCATGTGGATGGGGTTTTGTGCTTTTTCCTGAGCTTCTTTGGGATGTTTTCCACCTGGATCTCCTATTTTTCCATGGAGTTCTGGGCTTTTCCGTTGGATAATCCCAGAAAGTCACATCCTGATAATAAAACATCCTAAAAACATCCTCAGGTGGATTCTGTGGAGAAATTTCTTCTTCAATCTCATTTTTGTTGTTTAAGTTTTCAGTTTTCCCTTCATTTTTTATATTCAGTGTCAGGAAAAAAATGGATTTTACTGCCTGAACTGCCTGAAAATTGGGAATTTTTGGGTGTTCAGGCAGTTTTTTCCCCAGCTATTCCCACTTTTTATCCCGTTAAATTTACAAATCACAGCAAAATTGTGATTTTTCTTTTATTAATATAATTTTAATTATAATTAATTAATTGCTCTCAATTTCCTTCAGGAAGTGTTCACCTGGGCAGATTATAGCACTTTTGTGCTCATTCCCATCGGAAAATTCCAGGGGAAATCCAAATATTGGGAAGCAGGGGTGGCTGGGGGGGTTAAAAATAGCCTGAAAATTTGATTTAATGTGGGGAAAAAAATCCTTGGTTGGCCCCAAATTCCATCTAAACATTTGGCATTTTCCCAAAAAAAGGAATTCTCTGGAGGCAAAAACCAAATCCAACAGAATACCAGAAAAAAAGTGGGAAAAATGGGAAAAACAGAGGAATAAAAGTCAAAGTTTGATACCTGATGGAATCCCTGTGGATTGGAGGGAAGGAGAAACTTTGGCTTTTTTCCTGGATTTTCCCAGAAAAAAGCAAAGAACCTTCCCAAAATTCCTTCCTAAAGCCGGGGGAGGCTCAGGTGGGACATCAGCAGGAATTTTTTCATGGAAAAGGTGGAGAAGCATTGGAAAGGACAGCCCTTGTGGGATTCCCATCCCTGGAAGTGTCCAAGGAATTCCTGGATGTGACACTTTGGGATCAGGCTCAGCTGGGGCTCAGTCGTGGATGTCTTTTCCAACCTCAGGGATCCCGGAATGCTGGGAGTTGAGATTCTTGGGGGGGTTTTCCAAGGAATTTGCAGCAGAGCAGGAATTCCAATGGGAATTTTGGGAAAGCTGGGAAGAGTTTGAGGTCCAGTTGGAAGTTCCTGCGATGGGAATTTGGTGTTCCTGGGAAAAATTTAATCCTGGAAGGTTGGATTGATGGCAGCATCCCATGGATTCTTCCAAGTCTTTTCCAAGGATTCCCTGATTCTGGGTTGGAAATTCTGGTGTGAAGGAGGCGGGAATGGAGCATTCCCAAGGATCCCGGCTTTCCTCAGGAATCCTGGATTCCTCAGATCCACCTGGGAGCAGCTGAAGGGAACAGGGTTTCTTGGCTAGGGGGAATTCCCGTGGACTGGAGCTTGCAGAAATCCCAGAAAATCCCCGGGAAGCCCCGGCAGCCGCGGTGCCGCTTCCATCCGTAGAGGTGCCGATGGAATTCTGCTCCCGATCCCCGCATCCGTGTGAATCCCATCCAGTCCCTTCCCTGCCTCTGCTGTGGGATTCTCCAGGCTGGATGATTCCCGGGATTCCCATGGAATCGGGATGCTGGATTTCCCAGGAACTGGGTCGTGTTCCATGGCTGTTTTCCAGCGCTGTCTCTCCCTGCCCCAGGATTTTTGGGATTCTCTTCCCAGCACATTCCCAGCCAGGAGATGCTTATGGTTAACTGGTTGGAAATCAATGAATCCCATCTCAGATATTCCCAATGGGAATTTGGTATTCCCAGGAAAGGTTTAATCTGGAAAAGCGGTGGGGTTGGATTGGTGGCTGGATTCCATGGCTTAGTGGTGTTTTCCAAGGATTCTCTGATTCCAGGTT